CATGTCCACGTCCACGTCCACGTCCACGTCCATGTCCACGTCCACGTCCACGTCCACGTCCACGTCCATGTCCACGTCCACGTCCACGTCCACGTCCACGTCCATGTCCACGTCCACGTCCACGTCCACATCACGTCCACGTCCATGTCCACCGTCCACGTCCACGTCCACGTCCACTCCACGGTCCACGTCCACGTCCACGTCCATGTCCACGTCCACGTCCACGTCCACGTCCACCTCCACGTCCACGTCCACGACCACGTCCATGTCCACGTCCAGATCACGTCCACGTCCATGTCCACGTCCTCGTCCACGTCCACGTCCATGTCCACGTCCACGTCCACGTCCACGTCCATGTCCACGTCCACGGCCACGTTCATGTCCACGTCCACGACCATGTCCACGTCCACCTTCACGTCCACGTCCACGTCCATGTCCACGTCCATGTCCACGTCCACGTCCATGTCCACGTCCATGTCCACGTCCATGTCCACGTCCACGTCCATGTCCACGTCCATGTCCACGTCCACGTCCACGTCATGTCCACGTCCATGTCTACGTCCACGTCCACGTCCATGTCCACGTCCATGTCCACGTCAACCTCCACGTCCATGTCCACGTCCAATGTCCACGTCCATGTGCACGTCCATGTCCACGTCCATGTCCACGTCATGTCAACGTCCACGTCCACGTCCACGTCCACGTCCAGGTCCACGACCATGTCCACGTCCACGTCCACGTCCACGTCCATGTCCCATGTCCACGTCCAATTCCACGTCCACGTCAACATCCACGTCCACGTCCATGTCCACGTCCACGTCCACGTCACGTCCATGTCCATGTCCACGTCCATGTCCACGTCCACGTCCACGTCCATGTCCCGTCCATGTCCACGTCCACGTCCACGTCCACGTCCACGTCCAGGTCCACGACCATTTCCACGTCTTCGTCCACGTCCACGTCCACGTCCACGTCCAGTCCATGTCCAGTCCAATGTCCACGTCCACGTCCACGTCCACATCCACGTCCACGTCCACGTCCACGTCCATGTCCACGTCCATGTCCACGTCCACGTCCACGTCCATCTCCACATCCATGTCTACGTCCACGTCCACGTCATGTCCACGTCCATGTCCACGTCCATGTCCACGTCCATGTCCACGTCCACGTCCACGTCCACGTCCACGTCCAGGTCCACGACCACGTCCACGTCCACGTCCACGTTCACGTCCATGTCCCTGTCACGTCCACGTCCACGTCCACGTCCATGTCCACGTCCACGTCCACGTCCACGTCCAGGTCCACGTCCACGTCCACGTCACGTTCACGTCCACGTCCACGTCCACGTTACGACCATGTCCACGTCCACGTCCACGTCCACGTCCACGTCCACGTCCACGTCCACGTCCATGTCCACGTCCACGTCCACATCCATGTCCATGTCCACGTCCACGTCCACGTCCATGTCCACGTCCACGTCCATGTCCACGTCCACGTTCCAGTCCACGTCCATGTCAACGTCCACGTCCACGTCCACGTCCATGTCCATGTCCACGTCCACGTCCACGTCCACGTCCATGTCCATGTCCACGTCCACGTCCATGTCCATGTCCACGTCAGTCCATGTCACGTCCACGTCCATGTCCACGTCCAGGTCCACGTCCACGTCCACGTCCACGTCCATGTCCACGTCCACGTCAACGTCCACGTCCACGTCCACGTCCATGTCCACGTCCACGTCGACGTCCACGTCCACGTCCACGTCCAAGTCCACGTCCATGTCCACGTCCACGTCCACGAACCATGTCCACGTCCACGTCCACGTCCACGTCCATGTCCACGTCCACATCCATGTCCACGTCCACGACCACGTCCACGTCACGTCCACCTCCACGTCAACGACCATGTCCACGTCCACGGACCACGACCATGTCCACGTCCACGTCCACGTCCAAGTCCACGTCCATGTCCACGTCACGTCCACGTCCACGTCCACGTCCACCGTCAATGTCCACGTCCACGTCCACGTCCACGTCCACGTCCATAGTGCAAGTCCAAGATCACGTCCACGTCCACGTCCACGTCCATGTCCACGTCCACGTCCATGTCCACGTCCACGTCCACGTCCACGTCCACGTCCACGTCCATGTCCACGTCCTACGTCCACGTCCACGTCCACCTCCACGTCCACGTCCACGTCCACGTCCATGTCCATGACCACGTCCACGACCATGTCCACGTCAATGTCCACGTCCACCTCCACGTCCACGTCCACGTCCACGTCCACGTCCACGACCACGTCCACGATCACGTCCACGTCCACGTCCACGTCCACGTCCATGTCCACGTCCACGTCCAACATCCACTGTCAACATCTACGTCCACGGTCCACGTCCACGTCCACGTCCATGTCCACGTCCACGTCCACGTCCACGTCCACGTCCATGTCCACGTCCTATGTCCACGTCCACGTCCACGTCCATGTCCACTGTCCACGTCCACGTCCACGTCCATGTCCACGTACCGTCCGCGTCCACGCATGTCCACGTCACTGTCCGCGTCCACGTCGCAGTCCACGTCCGCGTCCACGTCCGCGTCCACTGTCCGCGACCATGTCCGACCATGTCCCGCACGTCCATGTCCACGTCCATGTCCACGTCCACGTCCATGTCTACGTCCATGTCCACGTCGATGTCCACGTACACGTCCACGTCCACGTCCATGTCCACGTCCATGTCCACGTCCATGTCCACGTCCATGTCCACGTCCATGTCCACGTCCACGTCGACGACCACGTCCACGTCCACGTCCACGTCCACGTCCATGACCACGTCCAAGTCCACGTCCACATCCACGTCCACGTCCATGTCCTCCACGTCCATGTCCACGTCCACGTCCACGTCGACGTCCACCACGTCCACGACCACGTCCACCTCCACGTCGACGTCCACGTCCACGTCCACGTCCACGTCCATGTCCTCCACGTCCATGTCCACGTCCACGTTGACGATCACGTCCACGTCCACGTCCACGTCCATGTCCATGTCCACGTCCACGTCCATGTCCACGTCTACGTCCATGTCCACGTCTACGTCCACGTCCACGTCCATGTCCATGTCCATGTCCACGTCCACGTCCATGTCCATGTCCACGTCCATGTCCACGTCCACGTCCATGTCCACGTCTACGTCCACGTCCACGTCCATGTCCACATCCATGTCCACGTCTACGTCCATGTCCACATCCATGTCCACGTCCACGTCCACGTCCATGTCCACGTCCAAGTCCACATCCATGTCCACGTCCATGTCCATGTCCACGTCCACGTCCATGTCCATGTCCACATCCATGTCCACGTCTACGTCCATGTCCACGTCCACGTCCACGTCCCGTCCACGTCCACGTCCATGTCCACGTCCACGTCCATGTCCACGTCCACGTCCACGTCCACGTCCATGTCCACGTCCACGTCCACGTCCACGTCCATGTCCACGTCCACGTCCACGTCCATGTCCACGTCCATGTCCACGTCCACGTCCACGTCCACGTCCACGTCCATGTCCACGTCTACGTCCACGTTCACGACCACGTCCATGTCCACGTCCACGTCCATGTCCACGTCCATGTCTACGTCCATGTCCACGTCCATGTCCACATCCATGTCCACGTCCATGTCCACGTCCACGTCCACGACCATGTCCACGTCCATGTCCACGTCCACGTCCACGTCCACGTCCATGTCCACGTCCACGTCCACGTCCACGTCCATGTCCACGTCCATGTCCACGTCAACGTCCACGTCCACGTTCACGTCCATGTCCACGTCCACGTCCACGTCCACGTCCACGTTTACGTCCACGTCCACGTCCATGTCCACGTCCACGTCCACGTCCACGTCCACGTCCACGTCCACGTCCACCTCCACGTCCACGACCATGTCCACGTCCACGACCACGTCCACGTACACGTCCATGTCCACGTTCACGTCCACCTCCACGTCCATGTCCACGTCCATGTCCACGTCACGTCCACGTCCACGTCCACGTCCACGTCCACGTCCAAGTCCACGTCCACGTCCACGTCCACGTCCACGTCCACGTCCACGTTCATGTCCACGTCCACGTCCACGTCCACGTCCACGTCCACGTCCACGTCCACGTCCACGTCCACGTCCATGTCCACGTCCACGTCCACGTCCACGTCCACGTCCACGTCCCACGTCCATGTCCACGTCCACTTCCACGTCCACGTCCACGTCCACGTCCACGTCCATGTCCACTTCCACGTCCACGTCCACGTCCACGTCCACGTCCAGGTCCACGTCCACGTCCACGTCCACGTCCACGTCCATGTCCACGTCCACGTCCACGTCCATGTCCACGTCCACGTCCACGTCCACGTCCACGTCCATGTCCACGTCCATGTCCACGTCCATGTCCATGTCCACGTCCATGTCCACGTCCATGTCCACGTCCATGTCCACGTCCATGTCCACGTCCACGTCCACGACCATGTCCACGTCCACGTCCACGTCCACGTCCATGTCCACGTCCACGTCCACGTCCACGTCCACGTCCATGTCCACGTCCATGTCCACGTCCACGTCCACGTCCACGTCCACGTCCACGTCCATGTCCACGTCCACGTCCACGTCCACGTCCACGTCCACGTCCATGTCCACGTCCACGTCCACGTCCACGTCCACGTCCATGTCCATGTCCACGTCCACGTCCACGTCCACGTCCATGTCCACGTCCACGTCCACGTCCATGTCCAAGTCCATGTCCACGTCCACGTCCATGTCCACGTCCATGTCCACGTCCATGTCCACGTCCATGTCCACGTCCATGTCCACGTCCACGTCGACGACCATGTCCACGTCCACGTCCACGTCCACGTCCACGTCCATGTCCACGTCCACGTCCATGTCCACGTCCACGTCGACGTCCAGGTCCACGTCCACGTCCACGTCCACGACCAGGTCATCCACGTCCACGTCCACGTCCACGTCCATGTCCACGTCCACGTCCACGTCCACGTCCACGTCCATGTCCACGTCCACGTCCACGTCCACATCCACGTCCACGTCCATGTCCACGTCCACGTCCACGTCCACGTCCACCTCCACGTCCACGTCCACGTCCACGTCCATGTCCACGTCCACGTCCACGTCCACGTCCACCTCCACGTCCACGTCCACGACCACGTCCATGTCCACGTCCAAGATCACGTCCACGTCCATGTCCACGTCCTCGTCCACGTCCACGTCCATGTCCACGTCCACGTCCACGTCCACGTCCATGTCCACGTCCACGGCCACGTTCATGTCCACGTCCACGACCATGTCCACGTCCACCTTCACGTCCACGTCCACGTCCATGTCCACGTCCATGTCCACGTCCACGTCCATGTCCACGTCCATGTCCACGTCCATGTCCACGTCCACGTCCATGTCCACGTCCATGTCCACGTCCACGTCCACGTCCATGTCCACGTCCATGTCTACGTCCACGTCCACGTCCATGTCCACGTCCATGTCCACGTCCACCTCCACGTCCATGTCCACGTCCATGTCCACGTCCATGTGCACGTCCATGTCCACGTCCATGTCCACGTCCATGTCCACGTCCACGTCCACGTCCACGTCCACGTCCAGGTCCACGACCATGTCCACGTCCACGTCCACGTCCACGTCCATGTCCATGTCCACGTCCAATGTCCACGTCCACGTCCACATCCACGTCCACGTCCATGTCCACGTCCACGTCCACGTCCACGTCCATGTCCATGTCCACGTCCATGTCCACGTCCACGTCCACGTCCATGTCCACGTCCATGTCCACGTCCACGTCCACGTCCACGTCCACGTCCAGGTCCACGACCATTTCCACGTCTTCGTCCACGTCCACGTCCACGTCCACGTCCATGTCCATGTCCACGTCCAATGTCCACGTCCACGTCCACGTCCACATCCACGTCCACGTCCACGTCCACGTCCACGTCCATGTCCACGTCCATGTCCACGTCCACGTCCACGTCCATCTCCACATCCATGTCTACGTCCACGTCCACGTCCATGTCCACGTCCATGTCCACGTCCATGTCCACGTCCATGTCCACGTCCACGTCCACGTCCACGTCCACGTCCAGGTCCACGACCACGTCCACGTCCACGTCCACGTTCACGTCTATGTCCATGTCCACGTCCACGTCCACGTCCACGTCCATGTCCACGTCCACGTCCACGTCCACGTCCAGGTCCACGTCCACGTCCACGTTCACGTCCACGTCCACGTCCACGTTCACGACCATGTCCACGTCCACGTCCACGTCCACGTCCACGTCCACGTCCATGTCCACGTCCACGTCCACCTCCATGTCCATGTCCACGTCCACGTCCACGTCCATGTCCACGTCCACGTCCATGTCCACGTCCACGTCCACGTCCATGTCAACGTCCACGTCCACGTCCACGTCCATGTCAACGTCCACGTCCACGTCCACGTCCATGTCCACGTCCACGTCCACGTCCACGTCCATGTCCATGTCCACGTCCACGTCCATGTCCATGTCCACGTCCATGTCCACGTCCACGTCCATGTCCACGTCCACGTCCACGTCCACGTCCACGTCCACGTCCATGTCCACGTCCACGTCCACGTCCACGTCCACGTCCACGTCCATGTCCACGTCCACGTCCACGTCCACGTCCACGTCCACGTCCAAGTCCACGTCCATGTCCACGTCCACGTCCACGACCATGTCCACGTCCACGTCCACGTCCACGTCCATGTCCACGTCCACATCCATGTCCACGTCCACGACCACGTCCACGTCCACGTCCACCTCCACGTCCACGACCATGTCCACGTCCACGACCACGACCATGTCCACGTCCACGTCCACGTCCACGTCCATGTCCACGTCCACGTCCACGTCCACGTCCACGTCCACGTCAATGTCCACGTCCACGTCCACGTCCACGTCCACGTCCATGTGCACGTCCAAGATCACGTCCACGTCCACGTCCACGTCCATGTCCACGTCCACGTCGACGACCATGTCCACGTCCACGTCCACGTCCACGTCCACGTCCATGTCCACGTCCACGTCCATGTCCACGTCCACGTCGACGTCCAGGTCCACGTCCACGTCCACGTCCACGACCAGGTCCACGTCCACGTCCACGTCCATGTCCACGTCCACGTCCACGTCCACGTCCATGTCCACGTCCACGTCCACGTCCACGTCCACGTCCATGTCCACGTCCACGTCCACGTCCACATCCACGTCCACGTCCATGTCCACGTCCACGTCCACGTCCACGTCCACCTCCACGTCCACGTCCACGTCCACGTCCATGTCCACGTCCACGTCCACGTCCACGTCCACCTCCACGTCCACGTCCACGACCACGTCCATGTCCACGTCCAAGATCACGTCCACGTCCATGTCCACGTCCTCGTCCACGTCCACGTCCATGTCCACGTCCACGTCCACGTCCACGTCCATGTCCACGTCCACGGCCACGTTCATGTCCACGTCCACGACCATGTCCACGTCCACCTTCACGTCCACGTCCACGTCCATGTCCACGTCCATGTCCACGTCCACGTCCATGTCCACGTCCATGTCCACGTCCATGTCCACGTCCACGTCCATGTCCACGTCCATGTCCACGTCCACGTCCACGTCCATGTCCACGTCCATGTCTACGTCCACGTCCACGTCCATGTCCACGTCCATGTCCACGTCCACCTCCACGTCCATGTCCACGTCCATGTCCACGTCCATGTGCACGTCCATGTCCACGTCCATGTCCACGTCCATGTCCACGTCCACGTCCACGTCCACGTCCACGTCCAGGTCCACGACCATGTCCACGTCCACGTCCACGTCCACGTCCATGTCCATGTCCACGTCCAATGTCCACGTCCACGTCCACATCCACGTCCACGTCCATGTCCACGTCCACGTCCACGTCCACGTCCATGTCCATGTCCACGTCCATGTCCACGTCCACGTCCACGTCCATGTCCACGTCCATGTCCACGTCCACGTCCACGTCCACGTCCACGTCCAGGTCCACGACCATTTCCACGTCTTCGTCCACGTCCACGTCCACGTCCACGTCCATGTCCATGTCCACGTCCAATGTCCACGTCCACGTCCACGTCCACATCCACGTCCACGTCCACGTCCACGTCCACGTCCATGTCCACGTCCATGTCCACGTCCACGTCCACGTCCATCTCCACATCCATGTCTACGTCCACGTCCACGTCCATGTCCACGTCCATGTCCACGTCCATGTCCACGTCCATGTCCACGTCCACGTCCACGTCCACGTCCACGTCCAGGTCCACGACCACGTCCACGTCCACGTCCACGTTCACGTCTATGTCCATGTCCACGTCCACGTCCACGTCCACGTCCATGTCCACGTCCACGTCCACGTCCACGTCCAGGTCCACGTCCACGTCCACGTTCACGTCCACGTCCACGTCCACGTTCACGACCATGTCCACGTCCACGTCCACGTCCACGTCCACGTCCACGTCCATGTCCACGTCCACGTCCACCTCCATGTCCATGTCCACGTCCACGTCCACGTCCATGTCCACGTCCACGTCCATGTCCACGTCCACGTCCACGTCCATGTCAACGTCCACGTCCACGTCCACGTCCATGTCAACGTCCACGTCCACGTCCACGTCCATGTCCACGTCCACGTCCACGTCCACGTCCATGTCCATGTCCACGTCCACGTCCATGTCCATGTCCACGTCCATGTCCACGTCCACGTCCATGTCCACGTCCACGTCCACGTCCACGTCCACGTCCACGTCCATGTCCACGTCCACGTCCACGTCCACGTCCACGTCCATGTCCACGTCCACGTCCACGTCCACGTCCACGTCCACGTCCAAGTCCACGTCCATGTCCACGTCCACGTCCACGACCATGTCCACGTCCACGTCCACGTCCACGTCCATGTCCACGTCCACATCCATGTCCACGTCCACGACCACGTCCACGTCCACGTCCACCTCCACGTCCACGACCATGTCCACGTCCACGACCACGACCATGTCCACGTCCACGTCCACGTCCACGTCCATGTCCACGTCCACGTCCACGTCCACGTCCACGTCCACGTCAATGTCCACGTCCACGTCCACGTCCACGTCCACGTCCATGTGCACGTCCAAGATCACGTCCACGTCCACGTCCACGTCCATGTCCACGTCCACGTCCATGTCCACGTCCACGTCCACGTCCACGTCCACGTCCACGTCCATGTCCACGTCCACGTCCACGTCCACGTCCACGTCCACGTCCACGTCCACGTCCACGTCCATGTCCATGACCACGTCCACGACCATGTCCACGTCCATGTCCACGTCCACCTCCACGTCCACGTCCACGTCCACGTCCACGTCCACGACCACGTCCACGATCACGTCCACGTCCACGTCCACGTCCACGTCCATGTCCACGTCCACGTCCACGTCCACGTCAACATCTACGTCCACGTCCACGTCCACGTCCACGTCCATGTCCACGTCCACGTCCACGTCCACGTCCACGTCCACGTCCACGTCCATGTCCACGTCCACGTCCATGTCCACGTCCAGGTCCACGTCCACGTCCACGTCCATGTCCACGTCCACGTCCACGTCCACGTCCATGTCCACGTCCACGTCCGCGTCCACGTCCGCGTCCACGTCCGCGTCCATGTCCGCGTCCACGTCCGCGTCCATGTCCACGTCCACGACCATGTCCACGTCCACGTCCATGTCCACGTCCATGTCCACGTCCACGTCCATGTCTACGTCCATGTCCACGTCGATGTCCACGTCCACGTCCACGTCCACGTCCATGTCCACGTCCATGTCCACGTCCATGTCCACGTCCATGTCCACGTCCATGTCCACGTCCACGTCGACGACCACGTCCACGTCCACGTCCACGTCCACGTCCATGACCACGTCCAAGTCCACGTCCACGTCCACGTCCACGTCCATGTCCTCCACGTCCATGTCCACGTCCACGTCCACGTCGACGTCCACCACGTCCACGACCACGTCCACCTCCACGTCGACGTCGACGTCCACGTCCACGTCCACGTCCATGTCCTCCACGTCCATGTCCACGTCCACGTTGACGATCACGTCCACGTCCACGTCCACGTCCATGTCCATGTCCACGTCCATGTCCACGTCCACGTCCACGTCCACGTCCACGACCACGTCTACGTCCACGTCCACGTCCACGACCATGTCCACGTCCACGTCCACGTCCACGTCCACGTCCATGTCCACGTCCAGGTCCAGGTCCACGTCCACATCCACGTCCATGTCCACGTCCACGTACATGGCCACGTCCACGTCCACGTCCACGACCATGTCCACGTCCACGTCCACGTCCACGTCCATGTCCACGTCCACGTCCACGTCCACGTCCACGTCCACGTCCATGTCCACGTCCACGTCCACGTCCACGTCCATGTCCACGTCCACGTCCACGTCCACGTCCACATCCACGTCCACGTCCATATCCACGTCCACGTCCACGTCCACGTCCACCTGCACGTCCACGTCCACGTCCACGTCCATGTCCACGTCCACGTCCACGTCCACGTCCACCTCCACGTCCACGTCCACGACCACGTCCATGTCCACGTCCAAGATCACGTCCACGTCCACGTCCATGTCCACATCCTCGTCCACGTCCACGTCCATGTCCACGTCCACGTCCACGTCCACGTCCATGTCCACGTCCACGGCCACGTTCATGTCCTCGTCCACGACCATGTCCACGTCCACCTTCACGTCCACGTCCACGTCCATGTCCACGTCCATGTCCACGTCCACGTCCATGTCCACGTCCAAATCCACGTCCATGTCCACGTCCACGTCCATGTCCACGTCCATGTCCACGTCCACGTCCACGTCCATGTCCACGTCCATGTCTACGTCCACGTCCACGTCCATGTCCACGTCCATGTCCACGTCCACCTCCACGTCCATGTCCATGTCCACGTCCATGTCCACGTCCATGTCGACGTCCATGTCCACGTCCATGTCCACGTCCACGTCCATGTCCACGTCCACGTCCAGGTCCACGACCATGTCCACGTCCACGTCCACGTCTACGTCCATGTCCATGTCCACGTCCAATGTCCACGTCCACGTCCACATCCACGTCCACGTCCATGTCCATGTCCTCGTCCACGTCCACGTCCACGTCCATGTCCATGTCCACGTCCATGTCCACGTCCACGTCCACGTCCATGTCCACGTCCATGTCCACGTCCACGTCCACGTCCACGTCCACGTCCAGGTCCACGACCATGTCCACGTCCACGTCCACGTCCACATCCACGTCCATGTCCATGTCCACGTCCAATGTCCACGTCCACGTCCACATCCACATCCACGTCCATGTCCATGTCCACGTCCACGTCCACGTCCACGTCCATGTCCATGTCCACGTCCATGTCCACGTCCACGTCCACGTCCATGTCCACGTCCATGTCCACGTCCACGTCCACGTCCACGTCCACGTCCACGTCCAGGTCCACGACCATGTCCACGTCTTCGTCCACGTCCACGTCCACGTCCACGTCCATGTCCATGTCCACGTCCAATGTCCACGTCCACGTCCACATCCACGTCCACCTCCACGTCCACGTCCACGTCCATGTCCACGTCCATGTCCACGTCCACGTCCACGTCCATCTCCACGTCCATGTCCACGTCCACGTCCACGTCCATGTCCACGTCCATGTCCACGTCCATGTCCACGTCCATGTCCACGTCCACGTCCACGTCCACGTCCACCTCCAGGTCCACGACCACGTCCACGACCACATCCACGACCACGTCCACGTGGACGTTGACGTTGACTTAGACGTGGACGAGGACGTGGACGTGGACGTGGAGGACGTGGACGTGGAGGACGTGGACGTGGACGTGGACATGGACCTGGACCTGGACGTTGACGTGGACGTGGACTTGGACGTGGACGTGGACGTGGACGTGGACATGGTTGTGGACGTGGACGTGGACGTGGACGTGGTCGTGGACGTGGACGTGGACTTGGACGTGGACGTGGACATAGACGTGGACCTGGACGTGGACGTGGACGTGGACCTGGACATGGACGTGGACGTGGACTTGGACGTGGACGTGGCGTGGACGTGGACGTGGAGGACGTGGACGTGGAGGACGTGGACGTGGAGGACGTGGACGTGGACGTGGACGTGGACGTGTTCGTGGACGTGGACGTGGACGTGGTCGTGGACGTGGACGTGGTCGTGGACGTGGACGTGGACGTGGCGTCGATGTGGACGTAGTCGTGGACGTGGACGTGGTCGTGGACGTGGTCGTGGACGTGGACGTGGACCTGGATGTGGACGTGGACGTGGACCTGGACATGGACGTGGACGAGGACTTGGACGTGGACGTCGACGTGGACATGAACATGGAGGACGTGGACGTGGACTTGGACGTGGACGTGGACGTAGACTTGGACGTGGACGTGGACGTGGACTTGGACGTGGACGTGGACGTAGACGTGGACGTGGACGTGGACCTGGACGTGGACGTGGACGTGGACGGGGACGTGGACCTGGACGTGGATGTGGACGTGGACGTGGTCGTGGTCGTGGACGTGGATCTGGTCGTGGACGTGGACGTGGACGTGGACGTGGTCGTGGACGTGGACCTGGACGTGGACGTGGATGTGGACCTGGACATGGACGTGGACGTGGACTTGGACGTGGACGTGGACGTGGACTTGGACGTGGAGGACGTGGACGTGGACTTGGACGTGGACGTGGACGTAGACTTTGACCTGGACGTGGACGTGGACGTGGACTTGGACGTGGACGTGGACGTAGACGTGGACGTGGACGTGGACCTGGACGTAGACGTGGACGTGGACGTGGACGTGGACCTGGACGTGGACGTAGACATGGACTTGGACGTGGACGTGGACTTGGACGTGGACAAGGACGTTGACGTGGACGTGGAGGACGTGGACGTGGAGGATGTGGACGTGGAGGACGTGGACGTCGACGTGGACATGGTCGTGGATGTGGACGTGGACGTGGACGTGGTCGTGGACGTGGACGTGGACGTGGTCGTGGTCGTGGACGTGGTCGTGGACGTGGACTTGGACTTGGACGTAGATGTGGACGTAGACGTGGACGTGGACGTGGACCTGGACGTGGACGTGGACGTGGACCTGGACATGGACGTGGACGTGGACTTGGACGTGGATGTGGACGTGGACTTGGACGTGGACGTGGACATGGACGTGGAGGACGTGGACGTGGAGGACATGGACGTGGAGGACGTGGACGAGAACGTGGACGTGGACGTGGAGGACGTGGACGTGGACGTGGTCGTGGATGTGGACGTGGACGTGGTCGTTGACGTGGACGTGGACGTGGACATGGACGTGGATGTGGACGTGGACGTGGACGTCTTCGTGGACGTGGACGTGGACGTGGTCGTGGACGTGGATCTGGTCGTGGACGTGGACGTGGACGTGGACGTGGTCGTGGACGTGGACGTGGACGTGGATGTGGACGTGCACGTGGTCGTGGACGTGGTTGTGGACGTGGACGTGGACGTAGACGTGGACGTGGACGTGGACGTAGACGTGGACGTGGACCTGGACGTGGACGTGGACGTGGACTTGGACATGGACGTGGACGTGGACTTGTACATGGACGTGGACGTGGACTTGGACGTGGACGTGGACGTGGTCGTGGACCTGGACGTGGACGTGGACGTGGACGTGGACGTGGACGTGGACCTGGACGTGGACGTGGACTTGGACGTGGACGTGGACGTGGACGTGGTCGTGGACGTGGACGTGGACGTGGTCGTGGACGTGGTCGTGGACGTGGACGTGGACGTGGTCCTGGACGTGGACGTGGACGTGGACGTGGACATGGACGTGGACGTGGACGTGGACGTGGTCGTGGACGTGGACGTGGACGTGGTCGTGGACGTGGATCTGGTCGTGGACGTGGACGTGGACATGGACGTGGACGTGGACGTGGTCGTGGACGTGGACGTCGACGTGGTCGTGGACGTGGTCGTGGACGTGGATCTGGTCGTGGACGTGGTCGTGGACGTGGATCTGGTCGTGGACGTCGACGTGGACATGGACGTGGACGTGGACGTGGTCGTGGACATGGACGTGGACGTGGTCGTGGACGTGGACGTGGTCGTGGACGTGGATCTGGTCGTGGACATGGACGTGGACGTGGACATGGACGTGTTCGTGGACGTGGACGTGGTCGTGGACGTGGACGTAGACGTGGACGTGGTCGTGGAAGTGGACGTGGACGTGGACGTAGACGTGGACGTATACGTGGTCCTGGACGTGGACATGGACGTGGACTTGGACGTGGACGTGGACGTGGACGTGGACTTGGACGTGGACGTGGACGTGGACGTGGAGGACGTGGACATGGAGGACGTGGAGGACGTGGACGTGGACGTGGACCTGGACGTGGACGTGGACTTGGACGTGGACGTGGACGTGGACGTGGACTTGGTCATGGACGTGGACGTGGACGTGGTCGTGGACTTGGACGTGGACGTGGTCGTGGACGTGGACGTGGACGTGGACGTGGACGTTGACGTGAACGTGGTCGTGGACGTGGACGTGGTCGTGGACGTGGACGTGGTCGTGGACGTGGACGTGGAGGACGTGGACGTGGACGTGGTCGTGGACGTGGATGTGGACGTGGTCGTTGACGTGGACGTGGACGTGGACGTAGACGTGGATGTGGACGTGGACGTGGACGTGGACGTGGTCGTGGACGTGGATCTGGTCGTGGACATGGACGTGGACGTGGACGTGGACGTGTTCGTGGACGTGGACGTGGTCGTGGACGTGGACGTGGACGTGGACGTGGTCGTGGAAGTGGACGTGGACGTGGACGTAGACGTGGACGTGGACGTGGTCCTGGACGTGGACGTGGACGTGGACTTGGACGTGGACGTGGACGTGGATGTGGACTTGGACGTGGACGTGGACGTGGACGTGGAGGACGTGGACATGGAGGACGTGGAGGATGTGGACGTGGACGTGGACCTGGACGTGGACGTGGACTTGGACGTGGACGTGGACGTGGACGTGGACTTGGTCATGGACGTGGACGTGGACGTGGTCGTGGACTTGGACGTGGACGTGGTCGTGGACGTGGACGTGGACGTGGACGTGGACGTTGACGTGAACGTGGTCGTGGACGTGGACGTGGTCGTGGACGTGGACGTGGTCCTGGACGTGGACGTGGAGGAAGTGGACGTGGACGTGGTCGTGGACGTGGATGTGGACGTGGTCGTTGACGTGGACGTGGACGTGGACGTAGACGTGGATGTGGACGTGGACGTGGACGTGGTCGTGGACGTGGACGTGGACGCGGTCGTGGACGTGGATCTGGTCGTGGACGTGGACGTGGACGTGGACGTGGTCGTGGACGTGGACGTGGACGTGGATGTGGACGTGCACGTGGTCGTGGACGTGGTCGTGGACGTGGACGTGGACGTAGACGTGGACGTGAACCTGGACGTGGACGTGGACGTGGACCTGGACATGGACGTGGACGTGGACTTGGACATGGACGTGGACGTGGACTTGGACGTGGACGTGGACGTGGACGTGGAGGACGTGGACGTGGACGTGGACGTGGACCTGGACGTAGACGTGGACTTGGACGTGGACGTGGACGTGGACGTGGTCGTGGACGTTGATGTGGACGTGGTCGTGGACGAGGACGTGGACGTGGTCCTGGACGTGGACGTGGACGTGGACGTGGACGTGGACGTGGTCGTGGACGTGGACGTGGACGTGGTCGTGGACGTGGATCTGGTCGTGGACGTGGACGTGGACATGGACGTGGACGTGGACGTGGTCGTGGACGTGGACGTGGACTTGGTCGTCGACGTGGACGTGGTCGTGGACGTGGATCTGGTCGTGGACATGGACGTGGACGTGGACGTGGACGTGTTCGTGGATATGGACGTGGTTGTGAACGTGGACGTGGACGTGGACGTGGTCGTGGACGTGGACGTGGACGTGGACGTAGACGTGGACGTGGACGTGGTCCTGGACGTGGACGTGGACTTGGAGATGGACGTGGACGTGGACGTGGACTTGGACGTGGACGTGGACGTGGACGTGGAGGACGTGGACGTGGAGGACGTGGACGTGGACGTGGACCTGGACGTGGACGTGGACTTGGACGTGGACGTGGACGTGGACGTGGACTTGGTCGTGGACGTGGACGTGGTCGTGGACTTGGACGTGGACGTGGTCGTGGACGTGGACGTGGACGTGGACGTGGACGTTGACGTGAACGTGGTCGTGGACGTGGACGTGGTCGTGGACGTGGACGTGGTCGTGGTCGTGGACGTGGACGTCGATGTGGACGTGGACGTGGACCTGGACCTGGACGTGGATGTGGACGTGGACATGGACCTGGACCTGGTCGTGGACGTGGACGTGGACGTGGACATGGTCGTAGACATGGACGTGGACATGGACGTGGACTAGGACGTGGTCGTGGACGTGGACGTGGACGTGGACTTGGACGTGGACGTGGACCTGGACCTGGACGTGGATGTGGACGTGGACATGGACCTGGACCTGGTCGTGGACGTGGACGTGGACGTGGACATGGTCGTAGACGTGGACGTGGACATGGACGTGGACTAGGCGTGGTCGTGGACGTGGTTGTGGACGTGGACTTGGACGTGGACGTGGACGTAGACGTGGACGTGGACGTGGACCTAGACGTGGACGTGGACGTGGACCTGGACATGGACGTGGACGTGGACTTGGACGTGGACGTGGACTTGGACGTGGACGTGGACGTGGACGTGGAGGACGTGGACGTGGAGGACGTGGACGTGGAGGACGTGGACGTGGAAGTGGACGTGGACGTGGCCGTGGACGTAGACTTGGACGTGGACGTGGACGTGGTCGTGGACGTGGTCGTGGACGTGGACATGGACGTGGTCGTGGACGTGGACGTGGACGTGGACGTGGACGTAGACGTGGACCTGGACCTGGACGTGGACGTGGACGTGGACTTGGACGTGGACGTGGACGTGGTCGTGGACGTTGATGTGGACGTGGTCGTGGACGTGGACGTGGACGTGGTCCTGGACGTGGACGTGGGCGTGGACGTGGACGTGGTCGTGGACGTGGACGTGGTCGTGGACGTGGATCTGGTCGTGGACGTGGACGTGGACGTGGACGTGGACGTGGACGTTGTCGTGGACGTGGACGTGGACTTGGTCGTGGACGTGGACGTGGTCGTGGACGTGGATCTGGTCGTGGACATGGACGTGGACGTGGACGTGGACGTGTTCATGGACGTGGACGTGGTCGTGGACGTGGACGTGGACGTGGACGTGGTCGTGGACGTGGACGTGGACGTGGACGTGGACGTAGACGTAGACGTGGACGTGGTCCTGGACGTGGACGTGGACGTGGACTTGGACGTGGACGTGGACGTGGACTTGGACGTGGACGTGGACGTGGACGTGGAGGACGTGGACGTGGAGGACGTGGACGTGGACGTGGACCTGGACGTGGACGTGGACTTGGACGTGGACGTGGACGTGGACGTGGACGTGGACTTGGTCGTGGACGTGGACGTGGACGTGGTCGTGGACTTGGACGTGGACGTGGTCGTGGACGTGGACGTGGACGTGGACGTTGACGTGAACGTGGTCGTGGACGTGGACGTGGTCGTGGACGTTGACGTGGTCGTGGACGTGGACGTGGACGTGGATGTGGACGTGGACGTGGACCTGGACCTGGACGTGGATGTGGACGTGGACATGGACCTGGACCTGGTCGTGGACGTGGACGTGGACGTGGACATGGTCGTAGACGTGGACGTGGACATGGACGTGGACTAGGACGTGGTCGTGGACGTGGTTGTGGACGTGGACTTGGACGTGGTCGTGGACGTAGACGTGGACGTGGACGTGGACCTGGACGTGGACGTGGACGTGGACCTGGACATGGACGTGGACGTGGACTTGGACGTGGACGTGGACGTGGATTTGGACGTGGACGTGGACGTGGACGTGGAGGACGTGGACGTGGAGGACGTGGACGTGGAAGTGGACGTGGACGTGGACGTGGACGTAGACTTGGACGTGGACGTGGACGTGGTCGTGGACGTGGTCGTGGACGTGGACATGGACGTGGTCGTGGACGTGGACGTGGACGTGGACGTGGACGTAGACGTGGACGTGGACCTGGACGTGGACGTGGACGTGGACGTGGACGAGGACGTGGACCTGGACGTGGACGTGGACGTGGACTTGGACGTGGACGTGGACTTGGACGTGGACGAGGACGTGGACATGGACGTGGAGGACGTGGACGTGGAGGACGTGGACGTGGACGTGGACCTGGACCTGGACGTGGACGTGGACCTGGACGTGGACGTGGACGTGGACATGGTCGTGGAAGTGGACGTGGACGTGGACATGGTCGTAGACGTGGACGTGGACGTGGACGTGGACGTGGACTAGGACGTGGTCGTGGACGTGGACTTGGACGTGGACGTGGACGTGGACGTGGACCTGGACGTGGACGTGGACGTGGACATGGACATGGACGTGGACGTGGACTTGGACGTGGACGTGGATGTGGACTTGGACGTGGACGTGAACGTGGACAAGGAGGACGTGGACGTGGAGGACGTGGACGTGTAGGACGTGGACGTGGACGTGGACGTGGACGTAGACTTGGACGTGGACGTGGACGTGGTCGTGGACGTGGACGTGGTCGTGGACGTGGACGTGGTCGTGGACGTGGACGTGGACGTGGACGTAGACGTAGACATGGACGTCGTCGTGGACGTGGACGTGGACGTGGTCATAGACGTGGACGTGGTCGTGGACGTGGATCTGGTCGTGGACGTGGACGTGGACGTGGACGTGGACGTGGACGTGGTCGTGGACGTGGACGTGGACATGGTCGTGGACGTGGTCGTGGACGTGGACGTGGACCTGGACGTGGACGTGGACGTGGACCTGGACATGGGCATGGACGTGGACGTGGACGTGGTCGTGGACGTGGACGTGGACGTGGACGTGGACGTGGACGTGGACATAGACGTGGATGTGGACGTGGACGTGGACGTGGTCGTGGACGTGGACGTGGACGTGGACGTGGACGTGGACGTGGTTGTGGACGTGGACGTGGACCTCGAGGACGTGGACGTGGTCGTGGACGTGGACTTGGACGTGGACGTAGATGTGGACGTGGACGTGGACGTGGTCGTGGACGTGGACGAGGACGTGGACGTAGACGTGGTCGTGGACGTGGACGTGGAGGACGTGGATCTGGTCGTGGACGTGGACGTGGACGTGGACGTGGACCTGGTCGTGGACGTGGACGTGGTCGTAGACGTGGTCGTGGACGTGGACGTGGACCTGGACGTGGACGTGGACGTGGACGTGGACCTGGACATGGACGTGGACGTGGACGTGGACGTGGTCGTGGACGTGGACGTGGACCTGGACATGGACGTGGACGTGGACGTGGACGTGGTCGTGGACGTGGACGTGGACGTGGACGTGGACGTGGACATGGACGTGGACGTGGACCTGGACATGGACGTGGACGTGGACGTGGACGTGGTCGTGGACGTGGACGTGGACGTGGAGGTGGACATGGACATGGACGTGGACGTGGACGTGGACGTGGTCGTGGCATGGACGTGGACGTGGACGTGGACGTGGACGTGGTCGTGGACGTGGACGTGGACGTGGACGTGGACGTGGACCTGGACATGGACGTGGACGTGGACGTGGACGTGGACCTGGAGATGGACGTGGACGTGGACGTGGACGTGGACGTGGTCGTGGACGTGGACGTGGACGTGGACGTGGATATGGACCTGGACGTGGACGTGGACGTGGACGTGGTCGTGGACGTGGACGTGGACGTGGTCGTGGACGTGGACGTGGACGTGGTCGTGGACGTGGACGTGGACGTGGACGTGGACGTGGACGTGGTCGTGGACGTGGACGTGGACGTGGTCGTGGACGTGGTCGTGGACGTGGACGTGGACCTGGACGTGGACGTGGACGTGGACCTGGACATGGACGTGGACGTGGACGTGGACGTGGTCGTGGACGTGGACGTGGACGTGGACCTGGACGTGGTCGTGGACGTGGACGTGGACGTGGTCGTGGACGTGGACGTGGACGTGGACGTGGACGTGGAGGACGTGGACGTGGTCGTGGACGTGGACTTGGACGTGGACGTGGACGTGGACCTGGACATGGACGTGGACGTGGACGTGGGCGTGGTCATGGACGTGGACGTGGACGTGGACGTGGACCTGGACATGGACGTGGACGTGGACGTGGACGTGGTCGTGGACGTGGACGTGGACGTGGACGTGGACGTGGAGGTGGTCGTGGACCTGGACGTGGACGTGGACCTGGACGTAGACGTGGACGTGGACATGGTCGTGGAAGTGGACGTGGACGTGGACATGGTCGTAGACGTGGACGTGGACGTGGACGTGGACTAGGACCTGGTCGTGGACGTGGTCGTGGACGTGGACTATGACGTGGACGTGGACGTGGACGTGGACGTGGACCTGGACGTGAACGTGGACGTGGACCTGGACATGGACGTGGACGTGGACTTGGACGTGGACGTGGACGTGGACTTGGACGTGGACGTGAACGTGGACAAGGAGGACGTGGACGTGGAGGACGTGGACGTGTAGGACGTGGACGTGGACGTGGACGTGGACGTGGACGTAGACTTGGACGTGGAAGCTGACGTGGTCGTGGACGTGGACGTGGTCGTGGACGTGGACGTGGTCGTGGACGTGGACGTGGACGTGGACGTAGACATAGACATGGACGTCGTCGTGGACGTGGACGTGGACGTGGTCATGGACGTGGACGTGGTCGTGGACGTGGATCTGGTCGTGGACGTGGACGTGGACGTGGACGTGGACGTGGTCGTGGACGTGGACGTGGACGTGGTCGTGGACGTGGTCGTGGACGTGGACGTGGACCTGGACGTGGACATGGACGTGGACCTGGACATGGGCGTGGACGTGGACGTGGACGTGGTCGTGGACGTGGACGTGGACATGGACATGGACGTGGACGTGGACGTGGACGTGGTCGTGGACGTGGACGTGGACGTGGACGTGAACGTGGACGTGGACGTGGTTGTGGACGTGGACGTGGACGTCGAGGACGTGGACGTGGTCGTGGACGTGGACTTGGACGTGGACGTGGACGTGGACGTGGACGTGGTCGTGGACGTGGACGTGGACGTGGACGTGGTCGTGGACGTGGACGTGGACGTGGAGGACGTGGATCTGGTCGTGGACGTGGACGTGGACGTGGACGTGGACCTGGTCGTGGACGTGGACGTGGACGTGGACGTGGTCGTGGACGTGGTCGTGGACGTGGACGTGGACCTGGACGTGGACGTGGACGTGGACCTGGACATGGACGTGGACGTGGACGTGGACGTGGTCGTGGACGTGGACGTGGACGTGGACCTGGACATGGACGTGGACGTGGACGTGGACGTGGACGTGGACGTGGACGTGGTCGTGGACGTGGACCTGGACGTGGACGTGGACCTGGACATGGACGTGGACGTGGACGTGGACGTGGTCGTGGACGTGGACGTGGACGTGGACCTGGACATGGACGTGGACGTGGACGTGGACGTGGACGTGGTCGTGGACGTGGACGTGGTCGTGGACGTGGATCTGGTCGTGGACGTGGACGTGGACGTGGTCGTGGACGTGGACGTGGACGTGGATGTGGAGGTGCACGTGGTCGTGGACGTGGTCATGGTCGTGGACGTCGTCGTGGAGGACGTGGACGTGGACGTGGAGGACTTGGACGTGGACGTGGACGTGGACGTGGACCTGGACGTGGACGAGGACGTGGTCGTGGTCGTGGACGTGGACGTGGACGTGGATGTGGACGTGGACGTGGACGTGGACGTGGTCGTGGACGTGGACGTGGACGTGGATGTGGACGTGCACGTGGTCGTGGACGTGGTCGTGGAATTGGACGTGGACGTAGACGTGGACGTGGACCTGGACGTGGACGTGGACGTGGACTTGGACATGGACGTGGACGTGGACTTGGACGTGGACGTGGACGTGGATGTGGAGGACGTGGACGTGGACGTGGACGTGGACCTGGACGTGGACGTGGACTTGGACGTGGACGTGGACGTGGTCGTGGACGTGGATGTGGACATGGTCGTGGACGTGGACGTGGACGTGGTCCTGGACGTGGACGTGGACGTGGACGTGGACGTGGTCGTGGACGTGGACGTGGACGCGGTCGTAGACGTGGATCTGGTCGTGGATGTGGACGTGGACATGGACGTGGACGTGGACGTGGTCGTGGACGTGGACGTGGACTTGGTCGTGGACGTGGACGTGGTCGTGGACTTGGATCTGGTCGTAGACATGGACGTGTACATGGACGTGGACGTGGACATGTTCGTGGACGTGGACGTGGTTGTGGACGTGGACGTGGACGTGGACGTGGTCGTGGACGTGGACGTGGACGTGGACGTAGACATGGACGTGGACGTGGTCCAGGACGTGGACGTGGACGTGGACTTGGACGTGAACGTGGACGTGGACGTGGACTTGGACGTGGACGTGGACGTGGACGTGGAGGACGTGGACGTGGAGGACGTGGACGTGGACGTGGACCTGGACGTGGACGTGGACTTGGACGTGGACGTGGACGTGGACTTGGTCGTGGACGTGGACGTGGACGTGGTCGTGGACTTGGACGTGGACGTGGTCGTGGACGTGGACGTGGACGTGGACGTGGACGTTGACGTGAACGTGGTCGTGGACGTGAACGTGGTCGTGGACGTGGACGTGGTCGTGGACGTGGACGTGGATGTGGACGTGGACGTGGACCTGGACCTGGTCGTGGACGTGGACGTGGATGTGGACATGGTCGTAGACGTGGACGTGGACATGGATGTGGACTAGGACGTGGTCGTGGACGTGGTTGTGGACGTGGACTTGGACGTGGACGTGGACGTAGACGTGGACGTGGACGTGGACCTGGACGTGGACGTGGACGTGGACGTGGACATGGACATGGACGTGGACTTGGACGTGGACGTGGACGTGGACTTGGACGTGGACGTGGACGTGGACGTGGAGGACGTGGACGTGGAGGAAGTGGACGTGGAGGACGTGGACGTAGACGTTGACGTGGACGTGGACGTGGACGTAGACTTGGACGTGGACGTGGACGTGGTCGTGGACGTGGACGTGGTCGTGGACGTGGACATGGACGTGGTCGTGGAAGTGGACGTGGACGTGGACGTGGACGTAGACGTGGACGTGGACCTGGACCTGGACGTGCACGTGGACGTGGACGAGGACGTGGACCTGGACGTGGACGTGGACGTGGACTTGGACGTGGACGTGGACGTGGACTTGGACGTGGACGAGGACGTGGACATGGACGTGGAGGACGTGGACGTGGAGGACGTGGACGTGGACGTGGACGTGGACCTGGACCTGGACGTGGACGTGGACCTGGACGTGGACGTGGACGTGGACATGGACATGGACGTGGACGTGGACGTGGACATGGTCGTAGACGTGGACGTGGACTAGGACGTGGTCGTGGACGTGGTCGTGGACGTGGACTTGGACGTGGACGTGGACGTGGACGTGGACCTGGACGTGGACGTGGACGTGGACCTGGACATGGACGTGGACGTGGACTTGGATGTGGACGTGGACGTGGACTTGGACGTGGACGTGGACGTGGACGTGGAGGACGTGGACGTGGAGGACGTGGACGTGGAGGACGTGGACGTGGACGTGGATGTGGACGTAGACTTGGACGTGGACGTGGACGTGGTCGTGGACGTGGACGTGGTCGTGGACGTGGACGTGGACATGGTCGTGGACGTGGACGTTGACGTGGACGTGGACGTAGACGTAGACGTGGACGTCGTCGTGGACGTGGACGTGGACGTGGTCGTGGACGTGGATGTGGTCCTGGACGTGGATCTGGTCGTGGACGTGGACGTGGACGTGGACGTGTTCGTGGACGTGGACGTGGACGTGGTCGTGGACGTGGTCGTGGACGTGGACGTGGACCTGGACGTGGACGTGGACGTGGACCTGGACATGGACATTGACGTGGACGTGGACGTGGACTAGACGTGGACCTGGACATGGACGTGGACGTGGACATGGACGTGGACGTGGTCGTGGACGTGGACGTGGACGTGGACGTGGACGTGGTCGTGGACGTGGACGTGGACGTGGAGGACGTGGACGTGGTCGTGGACGTGGACTTGGACGTGGACGTGGACGTGGACGTGGATGTGGAGGACGTGGACGTGGTCGTGGACATGGACTTGGACGTGGACGTGGACTTGGACGTGGAAGTGGACGTGGACGTGGACGTGGACGTGGACCTGGAGGACTTCGACGTGGACGTGGACATGGACGCGGACGTGGACGTGGACGCGGACGTGGACCTGGACTTGGACGTGGACGTGGACGTAGACGTGGTCGTGGACGTGGACGTGGACATGGTCGTGGACGTGGTCGTGGACGTGGACGTGGTCGTCCACGACGTGGACTTGGACATGGACGTGGACGTGGACGTGGTCGTGGACGTGGACGTGGTCGTGGACGTGGACGTGGACGTGGTCGTGGACGTGGACGTTGACGTGGATGTGGACCTGGACGTGGACGTGGACGTGGACCTGGACATGGACGTGGACGTGGACGTGGACGTGGACGTGGTCGTGGACGTGGACGTGACGTGGACCTGGACATGGACGTGGACGTGGACGTGGACGTGGTCGTGGACGTGGACGTGGACGTGGTCGTGGACGTGGACGTGGACGTGGAGGACGTGGACGTGGTCGTGGACGTGGACTTGGACGTGGACGTGGACGTGGAAGTGGAGGACGTGGACGTGGTCGTGGACGTGGACTTGGACGTGGACGTGGACTTGGACGTGGAAGTGGACGTGGTCGTGGAGGACGTGGACGTGTACGTGGACGTGGACGTGGTGGACGTGGACGTGGTCGTGGACGTGGACATGGATATGGACGTGGACGTGGTCGTGGACGTGGACGTCGTCGTGGAGGACGTGGACGTGGACGTGGAGGACTTGGACGTGGACGTGGACGTGGACGTGGACCTGGACGTGGACGTGGACGTGGTCGTGGTCGTGGACGTGGATGTGGACTGGACCTGGACGTGGACGTGGACGTGGACGTGGACGTGGACGTGGTCGTGGACGTGGACGTGGACGTGGATGTGGACGTGCACGTGGTCGTGGACGTGGTCGTGGACGTGGACGTGGACGTAGACGTGGACGTGGACCTGGACGTGGACGTGGACGTGGACTTGGACATGGACGTAGACGTAGACTTGGACATGGACGTGGACGTGGACTTGGACGTGGACGTGGACGTGGAGGACGTGGACGTGGACGTGGACGTGGACCTGGACGTGGACGTGGACTTGGACGTGGACGTGGACGTGGACTTGGACGTGGACGTGGAGGACGTGGACGTGGTCGTGGACGTGGACTTGAACGTGGACGTGGACGTGGACCTGGACATGGACGTGGACGTGGACTTGGACGTGGACGTGGACGTGGACTTGGACGTGGACGTGGACGTGGACGTGGACATGGAGGACGTGGACGTGGAGGACGTGGACGTGGAGGACGTGGACGTGGACGTGGACGTGGACGTAGACTTGGACGTGGACGTGGACGTGGTCGTAGACGTGGACGTAGTCGTGGACGTGGACGTGGTCGTGGACGTGGACGTGGACGTGGACGTAGACGTAGACGTGGACGTCATCGTGGACGTGGACGTGTACGTGGTCGTGGACTTGGACGTGGTCGTGGACGTGGATCTGGTCGTGGACGTGGACGTGGACGTGGACGTGGACGTGGTCGTAGACATGGGCGTGGACGTGGTCGTGGACGTGGTCGTGGACGTGGACGTGGACCTGGACGTGGACGTAGACATGGACCTGGACATGGACGTGGACGTGGACGTGGACGTGGACGTGGTCGTGGACGTGGACGTGGACGTGAACGTGGACCTGGACATGGACGTGGACGTGGTCGTGGACGTGGACGTGGACTTGGACGTGGTCGTGGACGTGGACGGGGACGTGGAGGACGTGGACGTGGTCGTGGACGTGGACTTGGACGTGGACGTGGACGTGGACGTGGACGTGGACGTGGAGGACGTGGACGTGGTCGTGGACGTGGACGTGGACGTGGACGTGGACTTAGACGTCCACGTCCACGACCATGTCCACGACCACCTCCAGGTCCACGTCCACGTCCACGTCGACGTCCATGTCCAGGTCCACGTCCAAGTCCTCCACGTCTACGACCACGTTGACGACCACGACCTCGTCCACGTCCACGTCCACGTCCACGACCACGTCCACGTCCACGTCCATGTCCACGTCCAAGTCCTCCACGTCCACGACCACGTCAACGTCCACGTCCACGTCCACGTCCACGTTAACGTCCACGTCCACGACTTCGTCCACGTCCACGTCCACGTCCACGTCCTCCATGTCCACGTCCACGTCCTCCACGTCCACGTCGTCCACGTCCACGTCCACGTCCACGTCCACGTCAACGACCACGTCCACGTCCACGTCCACGTCCACGTCCACGTCCACGACCATGTCCATGTCCAAGTTTACGTCCACGTCTACGTCCACGTCCACGACCACGTCCACGTCCACGACCACGTCCACGTCCACGTCCACGTCCACGACCACGTCCACGTCCACGTCCACGTCCACGACCACGTCCACGTCCACGTCCACGACCACGTCCACGTCCACGTCCACGTCCACGACCACGTCCACACCCACGTCCACGTTCACGTCCACGTCCACGTCCTCCACGACCACGTCCACGTCCACGTCCACGTCCACGTCCAAGTCCACGTCCACGTCCACATCCAAGTCCACGTCCACGTCCACGTCCAAGTCCACGTCCACGTCCACGTCCAAGTCCACGTCCACGTCCACGTCCAAGTCCACGTCCACGTCCACGTCCACGTCCACGTCCACGTCCTTGTCCACTTCCCCATCCACGTCCATGTCCACGTCCACGACGATGTCCACGTCCACGTCCACGTCCACGTCCACATCCAAGTCCACGTCCACGTCCACGTCCACGACCACGTCCACGTCCACGACCACGTCCACGTCCACGTCCACGTCCACCTCCAAGTCCTCCACGTCCACGACCACGTCCACGACCACGTCCACGTCCTCCATGACCACCTCCACGTCCACGACCACGTCCACGTCCACGTCCACGTCCACGACCACGTCCACGTCCATGTCCAGGTCCACGTCCACGCCCACATCCACGTCCACGTCTACGTCCTCCACGTTCACGATCATGTCCACGTCCACGTCCACGTCCACGTCCAAGTCCAAGTCCACGTCGTGGACGACCACGTCCACTTCCACGTCCACGTCCACGACCACGACCACGTCCACGTCCACGTTCAAGTCCTCCACGTCTACGACCACGTCCACGTCCACGTCCATGTCCAAGTCCACATCGTGGACGACCACGTCCATGACCACGTCCACGACCACGTCGACGTCCACGTCCACGACCACGTCTACGTCCACGTCCACGTCCAAGTCCAGGTACACGTCCGCGTCCACGTCCACGTCCGTGTCCATGTCCACGTCCACGTCGAAGTCCTCCACGTCCACGTCCACGTCCTCCACCACGTCCACGTCCACGTCCACGTCCACGTCCATGACCACGTCCACGACCATGTCCTCAACGTCCACGTCCAAGTCCTCCACGTCCAAGTCCAAGTCCTCCATGTCCACGACCACGTAAACGTCTACATCAACGTCCACGTCCACGTCCACGACCACGTCCACGTCCACATCTACATCCACGTCCACGTCCTACACGTCCACGTCCACGTCCTCCACGTCCACGTCCTCCACGTCCACGTCCACGTCCACGTCCACGACCACGTCCACGTCCACGTCCACGACCACGTCCACGACCACGACCACGTCCACGTCCACGACCACGTTCACGTCCACGTCCAAGTCCATGTCCACGTCCACGTCCAGGACCACGTCCACGTCCACGTCCACGACCACGGCCACGTCCACGTCCATGTCTACGTCCAGGCCCACGTCCACGTCCACGTCCACGTCCACGACCACGACCATGACCACGTCCACGTCCACGTCCATGTCCACGTCCAAGTCCAAGTCCTCCACGTCCACGACCACGTCCACGTCCATGACCACGTCCACGTCCACGACCACGTCCACGTCCACGTCCACGTCCACGACCATGACCACGTCCACGTCCACGTCCACGTCCAAGTCCTCCACGTCCACGACCACGTCCACGACCACGTCTATGTCCAATTCCACGTCGTGGACGACCACGTCCACGTCTACGACCACGTCCACGACCACGTCCACATCCACGTCCACGACCACGTCTACGTCCACGTCCACGTCCAAGTCCAGGTCCACGTCCGCGTCCACGTCCACGTCCGCGTCCACATCCACGTCCACGTCGAAGTCCTCCACGTCCACGTCTACGTCCACGTCCTCCACCACGTCCACGTCCACGTCCACATCCACATCCATGACCACGTCCACGACCATGTCCTCAACGTCCACGTCCAAGTCCTCCACCTCCAAGTCCAAGTCCTCCATGTCCACGACCACGTCAACGTCAACGTCCACATCCACGACCACGTCCACGTCCACGTCCACGTCCACGTCCACGTCAACGTCCACGTCCACGTCCACGTCCACGTCCACGTCAACGTCCACGACTACGTCAACGTCCACGACCACGACCACGCCCACGTCCACGTGCACGTCCACGTCCACGTCAACGTCCACGTCCACGTCCACGACCACGTCCACGTCTACGTCCACATCCACGTCCACGTCTACGTCCTCTACGTTCACGATCATGTCCACGTCCACGTCCACGTCCACGTCCAAGTCCAAGTCCACGTCGTGGACGACCACGTCCACGTCCATGTCCACGACCACGACCACGTCCACGTCCACGTCCACGTTCAAGTCCTCCACGTCTACGACCACGTCCACGTCCACGTCCACGTCCCTGTCCAAGTCCACATCGTGGACGACCACGTCCATGACCACGTCCACGACCACGTCGACGTCCATGTCCACGACCACGTCTACGTCCACGTCCACGTCCAAGTCCAGGTCCACGTCCGCGTCCACGTCCACGTCCGCGTCCACGTCCACGTCGAAGTCCTCCACGTCCACGTCCACGTCCTCCACCACGTCCACGTCCACGTCCACGTCCACGTCCACGTCCATGACCACGTCCACGACCATGTCCTCAACGTCCACGTCCAAGTCCTCCACGTCCAAGTCCAAGTCTTCCATGTCCACGACCACGTACACGTCCACGTCAACGTCCACGTCCACGTCCACGTCAACGTCCACGTCCACGTCCATGACCACGTCCACGTCTACGTCCACGTCCACGTCCACGTCCACAACCACGTCCACGTCCACGTCCACGACCACGTCCACGTCCACGTTCACGTCCACGTCCACGTCCTCCACGACCACGTCCACGTCCACGTCCATGTCCACGACCACGTCCACGTCCACGTCCACGTCCACGACCACGTCCACGTCCACGTCCACGTCCACATCCATGTCAACGTCCACGACGACGTCCACGTCCACGTCCACGTCCACGTCCAAGTCCACGTCCACGTCCACGACCACGTCCACGTCCACGACCATGTCCATGTCCACGTCCACGTCCACCTCCAAGTCCTGCACGTCCACGACCACGTCCACGACCACGTCCACGTCCTCCATGACCACGTCCACGTCCACGACCACGTCCACGTCCACGTCAACAACCACGTCCACGTCCACGACTACGTCCACGTCCATGTCCAGGTCCACGTCCACGCCCATGTCCACGTCCACGTCTACGTCCTCCACGTCCACGATCATGTCCACGTCCACGTCCACGTCCACCTCCAAGTCCAAGTCCACGTCGTGGACGACCACGTCCACGTCCACATCCACAACCACGTCCACGTCCACGTCCAAGTCCTCCACGTCCACGACCACGTCCACGTCCACGTCCATTCCAAGTCCACGTCGTGGACGACCACGTCCACGTCCACGACCACGTCCACGACCATGTCGACGTCCACGTCCACGACCACGTCTATGTCCACGTCCACGTCCAAGTCCAGGTCCACGTCCGCGTCCACGTCCACGTCCGCGTCCACGTCCACGTCCACGTCCACGTCGAAGTCCTCCACGTCCACGTCCACGTCGAAGTCCTCCACGTCCACGTCCTACACCACGTCCACGTCCACGTCCACGTCCATGACCACGTCCACGACCATGTCCTCAACGTCCACGTCCAAGTCCTCCACGTCCAAGTCCAAGTCCTCCATGTCCACGACCAAGTAAACGTCCACATCAACGTCCACGTCCACGTCCACGACCACGTCCACGTCCACATCTACATCCACGTCCACGTCCTACACGTCCACGTCCACGTCCTCCACGTCCACGTCCTCCTCGTCCACGTCCACGTCCACGTCCACGACCACGTCCACATCCACGTCCACGACCACGTCCACGACCACGACCACGTCCACGTCCACGTTCACGTCCACGTCCAAGTCCATGTCCACGTCCACGTCCAGGACCACGTCCATGTCCACGTCCACGTCCACGACCACGGCCACGTCCACGTCCATGTCTACGTCCAGGCCCACGTCCACGTCCACGTCCACGTCCACGACCACGACCATGACCACGTCCACGTCAACGTCCATGTCCACGTCCAAGTCCAAGTCCTCCACGTCCACGACCACGTCCACGTCCATGACCACGTCCACGTCCACGTCCACGTCCACGTCCACGACCACGTCCACGTCCACGTCCAGGTCCACGTCCATGCCCACGTCCACGTCCACGTCTACGTCCTCCACGTCCACGATCATGTCCACGTCCACGTCCACGTCCACGTCCACGTCCAAGTCCAAGTCCTGCGTGGACGACCACGTCCACGTCCACGTCCACGTCCAGGACCACGACCACGTCCACGTCCACGTCCACGTCCAAGTCCTCCACGTCCACGACCACGTCCACGTCCACGTCCATGTCCAAGTCCACGTCGTGGACGACCACGTCCACGTCCACGACCACGTCCACGACAACGTCCACGTCCACGACCACGTCTACGTCCACGTCCACGTCCAAGTCCAGGTCCACGTCCGCGTCCACATCCACGTCCGCGTCCACGTCCACGTCCACGTCGAAGTCCTCCACGTCCACGTCCACGTCCACGTCCTCCACCACGTCCACGTCCACGTCCACGTCCACATCCACGTCCATGACCACGTCCACGACCATGTCCTCAACGTCCACGTCGAAGTCCTCCACGTCCAAGTCCAAGTCCTCCATGTCCACGACCACGTCAACGTCAACGTCCACATCCACGACCACGTCCACGTCCACGTCAACGTCCACGTCCACGTCCACGTCCACGTCAACGTCCACGTCCACGTCCACGTCAACGTCCACGTCCATGTCCACGTCCACGTCCACGTCAACGTCCACGACCACGTCAACGTCCACGACCACGACCACGTCCACGTCCACGTGCACGTCCACGTCCATGCAACGTCCACGTCCACGTCCACGACCACGTCCACGTCTATGTCCACATCCACGTCCACGTCCTACACGTCCACGTCCACGTACTCCACGTCCACGTCCTCCACGTCTACGTCGACGTCCAGGACCACGTCCACGTCCACGTCCACGTCCACATCCACGACCACGTCCACGTCCACGACCACGTCCACGTCCACGTTCACGTCCACGTCCAAGTCCACGTCCACGTCCACGTCCACGACCACGTCCACGTCCACGTCCACGTCCACGTCCAGGTCCACGTCCACGTCCACGTCCACAACCACGACCACGTCCACGTCCACGTCCACGTCCAGGTCCACGTCCACGTCCACGTCCACGTCCAAGTCCTCCACGTCCACGTCCACGTCCTCCACGACGACGTCCACGTCCACGACCACGTCCACGTCCACATCCATATCCACATCCAAGTCCAAGTCCTCCACATCCACGACCACGTCCACGTCCACGTCCACGTCCAAGTCCACGTTGTGGACGACCACATCCACGTCTATGACCACGTCCGCGTCCACGACCACGTCAACGTCCACGACCACGACCACGTCCACGTCCACGTGCACGTCTACGTCCACGTCAACGTCCACGTCCACGTCCACGACCACGTCCACGTCTACGTCCACATCCACGTCCTACACGTCCACGTCCACGTCCTCCACGTCCACGTCCTCCACGTCTACATCTACGTCCAGGACCACGTCCACGTCCACGTCCACGTCCACATCCACGACCACGTCCACGTCCACGACCACGTCCACATCCACGTTCACGTCCACGTCCAAGTCCATGTCCACGTCCACGTCCACGTCCAGGACCACGTCCACGTCCACGTCCACGACCACGTCCACGTCCACGTCCACGTCCACGTCCACGTCCACGTCCACAACCACCTCCACGTCCACGTCCAGGTCCACGTCCACGTCCACGTCCAAGTCCTCCACGTCCACGTCCACGTCCTCCACGACGACGTCCACGTCCACGACCACGTCCACGTCCACGTCCATGTCCACGTCCAAGTCCAAGTCCTCCACGTCCACGACCACGTCCACGTCCACGTCCACGTCCAAGTCCACGTTGTGGACGACCACATCCACGTCTATGACCACGCCCACGACCACGTCCACGTCCACGTCCACGCCCACGTCCACGTCCACGTCCAAGTCCACTTCCACGTCCAGTCCATGTCCACGTCCAAGTCCTCCACGTCCACGACCACGTCCACGTCCACATCCACGTCCAAGTCCACATTGTGGACGACCACATCCACGTCTATGACTACGCCCACGACCAAGTCCACGTCCACGTCCACGACCACGTCCACGCCCACGTCCACGTCCACGTCCAAGTCCACTTCCACATCCAGTCCACGTCCACGTCCAAGTCCTCCACGTCCACGACCACGTCCACGTCCACGTCCACGTCCAAGTCCACGTTGTGGACGACCACATCCACGTCTATGACCACGCCCACGACCAAGTCCACGTCCACGTCCACGACCACGTCCACGCCCACGTCCACGTCCACGTCCAAGTCCACTTCCTTGTCCAGTCCACGTCCACGTCCAAGTCCTCCACGTCCACGACCATGTCCACGTCCACGTCCACGTCCAAGTCCACGTCGTAGACGACCATGTCCACGTCCACGACCACGTCCACGGCCACGTCCACGTCCACGACCACGTCCACGTCGACGTCCAAGTCCAGGTCCACGTCCGCGTCCACGACCACGTCCGCGTCCACGTCTACGTCCACGTCCTCCACCACGTCCACGTTGAAGCCCTCCACGTCCACGTCCACGTCCTCCACCACATCCACGTCCACGTCCATGTCCACGTCCAGGTCCACGTCCATGACCACGTCCACGACCACGTCCACGTCCATGTCCTCCACGTCCATGTCCTCCACGTCCATGTCCTCCACGTCCACGTCCACCTCCACGTCCAGGTCCACGTCCATGACCACGTCCACGACCACGTCCACGTCCAAGTCCTCCACGTCCAAGTGCATGTCCTCCACGTCCACGACCACGTCCACGTCCACGTCAACGTCAACATCAATGTCCACGTCCACGACCACGTCAATGTCCACGTCCACATCCACGTCCACGTCCACGTCCTCCACGTCCACGTCCTCCACGTCCACATCCACGACCACGTCCACGACCATGTCCACGTCCACAACCACGTCCACGTCCACGTCCAATTCCAAGTCCAGGTCCACGTCTGCGTCCACGTCCACGACCACGTCCGCGTCCACGTCCACGTCCACGTCCTCCACCACGTCTACGTCCACGTCCACGTCCAGGTCCACGTCCATGACCACGTCCACGACCACGTCCACGTCCATGTCCTCCACGTCCACGTCCAAGTCCTCCACGTCCAAGTAAAAGTCCTCCACGTCCACGACCACGTCCATGTCCACGTCCACGTCAACGTCCACGTCCACGTCCACGACCACGTCCACGTCACGTCCACATCCACGTCCATAACCACGTCCTCCACATCAACGTCCTCCACGTCCACGTCCACATCCACGACCACGTCCACGTCCACGTCCACGTCCACGTCCAAGTCCTCCATGTCCACGACCACGTGCATGTCCACGTCTACGTCCACGTCCACGTCCTCCACGTCCACGTCCACGTCCTCCACGTCCATGTCCACGTCCACGTCCACGTCCAAGTCCTCCATGTCCACGACCACGTCCACGTCCACGTCTACGTCCACGTCCACGTCCTCCACGTCCACGTCCACGTCCTCCACGTCCACGTCCACGTCCACGTCCACCTCCACGTCCACGACCACGTCCACGTCCACGACGACGTCCACGTCCACGTCCACGTGCACGACCACGTCCACGTCCACGTCCACTTCGACGTCCACGTCCACGTCCACGACCATGACCACGACCACGTCCACGACCACGTCAACGTCCACGTCCACGTCCACGACCACGTCCACCTCCACGTCCACGTCGACGTCCACGACCACGTCCACTCCACGATCACGTCCACATCCATGTCCACGTCCACGTCCAAGTCCAGGTCCACGTCCACGTCCACGTCCAGGTCCACGTCCACGTCCACGTCCAGGTCCAAGTCCACGTCCACGACCACGTCCACGTCCACGACCACCTCCAGGTCCACGTCCACGTCCACGTCCACGTCCACGTCCAAGTCCTCCACGTTCACGACCACGTCCACGTCCACGTCCAAGTCCACGTCCACGTCCACGTCCACGACCACGTCCACGTCCACAACCACGTCCACGTCCACGTCCACGTCCTCCACGACCACGTCCACGTCCACGACCACGTCTACGTCCACGTCCACGTCCAGGTCCACGTCCACATCCACGTCCACATCCAAGTCCTCCACGTCCACGACGACGTCCATGTCCACGTCCACACGTCGTGGACGACCACGTCCACGTCTACGACCACGTCCACGACCACGACCACATCCACGTCCACTTCCACGTCCACGTCCACGTCCACGACCACGTCCTCCACGTCCACGACCACGACCACGTCCACGACCACGTCCACGTCCAGGTCCGCGTCCACGTCCACGACCACGTCCACGTCCACGTCCAAGTCCTCCACATTCACGACGACGTCCACGTCCACGTCCACGTCCACGTCCACGTCCAAGACCACGACCACGTCCACGACCACGACCACGACCACGTCCACGACCACGTCAACGTCCACGTCCACATCCACGTCCACTTCCACGTCCACGTCAACGTCCACGTCCACATCCACGTCCACGTCCACGACTACGTCCACGTCCACGTCAACGTCCACGACCACGTCCACTCCACGACCACGTCCACGTCCACGTCCACGTCCACGTCCACGTCTACGTCCAGGTCGAGGTCCACGTCCACGTCCACGTCCACGTCCAAGTCGAGGTCCAGGTCCACGTCCACGTCCACGTCCACGTCCAGGTCCACGCCCACGTCCACGTCCAAGTCCACGTCCACGTCCACGTCCACGTCCAAGTCCTCCACGTCCACGTCCACGTCCTCCACAACCACGTCCACGTCCATGACCACGTCCACGTCCACGTCCACGTCCACATCCACGTCCACGTCCTCCACGTCCACGTCCACGTTCTCCACGTCCACGTCCACGTCCACGACCACGTCCATGTCCACAACCACGTCCACGTCCACGTCTACGTCCATGTCCACGTCCACGTTCTCCATGTCCATGTCCACGTCCACGTCCACGTCCATGTCCACGTCCACGTCCACGTCCACGTCCATGTCCACGTCCATGTCCACGTGTACGTCCATATCCATGTCCACGTCCACGTCCACGTAGAAGTCGAGCTCCAGGTCCACGTCCACGTCCACGTCCACGTCCAGGTCCACGTCCACGTCCAAGTCCACGTCCACGTCCACGTCCACGTCCTCCACGTCCACGTCCAAGTCCTCCACGTCCATGTCCACGTCCTCCACGACCACGTCTACGTCCATGACCACATCCACGTCCACGTCCTCCATGTCCACGTCCACGTCCACGTTCTCCACGTCCACGTCCACGTCCACGACCACGTCCACGTCCACAACCACATCCACGTCCATGTCCACGTCCACGTCCACGTCCATGTCCACGTCCACGTCCACGTTCTCCACGTCCACGTCCACGTCCACGACCACGTCCACGTCCACAATCACGTCCACGACCACGTCCACGTCCACAACCACGTTGTGGACGTGGACCTGGACGTGGACGTGGACGTGGACCTGGACATGGACGTGGTCGTGGACGTGGACGTGGATGTGGATGTGGACGTGGACGTGGACGTGGACATTGACTTGGACGTGGACCTGGACGTGGACGTGGACGTGGACGTGGTTGTGGACGTGGACGTGGACGTGGACCTGGACGTGGACTTGGACGTGGACGTGATCGTGGATGTGGAGGTGGACGTGGACGTGGACGTGGTCGTGGACGTGGACGTGGTCGTGGACGTGGACGTGGACGTGGTCGTGGACGTGGACGTGGACATGGATGTGGACGTGGACGTGATGGTGGACCTGGACGTGGACTTGGACGTGGACGTGATCGTGGATGTGGATGTGGACGTGGACGTGGACGTGGACGTGGTCGTGGACGTGGACGTGGATGTGGACGTGGTCGTGGACGTGGACGTGGACATGGACGTGGACGTGGACGTGGTCGTGGACGTGGACGTGGACGTGGACGTGGACCTGGACATGGACATTGACGTGGACGTGGACGTGGACGTAGACGTGGACCTGGATGTGGACCTGGACTTGGACTTGGACGTGGACGTGGACGTGGACTTGGACGTGGACGTGGACGTGGACGTGGACGTGGATGTGGACCTGGACTTGGAGGTGGACGTGGACGTGGACGTGGACTTGGACGTGGACGTGGTCGTGGACGTGGATGTGGATGTGGACCTGGACGTGGACGTGGACGTGGACGTGATCGTGGACGTGGACGTGGACGAGGACGTGAACATGGACGTGGACGTGGACGTGGACGTGGTCGTGGACGTGGACGTGGACGTGGTCATAGACGTGGACGTGGACATGGACGTGGACGTGGTTGTGGACGTGGACGTGGACGTGGACCTGGACCTGGATGTGGTCGTGGACGTGGACGTGGACGTGGACGTGGAGGACGTAGACGTGGACGTGGAGGATGTGGACTTGGACGTGGACGTGATCGTGGACGTGGACGTGGACTTGGACGTGGACGTGGACGTGGACGTGGACCTGGACGTGGACGTGGACGTGGACCTGGACGTGGACGTGGACGTGGACGTGGTCGTGGATGTGGACGTGGACATGGACGTGGACGTGGACGTGGTCGTGGACGTGGACGTGGACGTGGTCTGGACGTGGATGTGGACCTGGATGTGGTCGTGGACGTGGACGTGGACATGGACGTGGATGTGGACGTGGACGTGGACGTGGACTTGGACGTGGACGTGGTCGTGGAGGTGGACGTGGACGTGGACGTGGACGTGGACGTGGACCTGGACATGGACGTGGACGTGGACATGGACGTGGACGTAGACGTGGACCTGGATGTGGACCTGGACTTGGACCTGGACGTGGACGTGGACCTGGACCTGGACCTGGACGTGGACGTGGACCTGGACATGGACGTGGTCGAGGATGTGGACGTGGACATGGACGTGGACGTGGACAAGGTCGTGGACGTGGACGTGGATGTGCACGTGGTCTGGACGTGGATGTGTACCTGGATGTGGTCGTGGACGTGGACCTGGACGTGGACATGGACGTGGATGTGGACGTGGACGTGGACGTGGACTTGGACGTGGTCGTGGACGTGGACGTGGACCTGGACATGGACGTGGTCGTGGACGTGGACGTGGACGTGGTCGTGGACGTGGACGTGGACGTGGATGTGGATGTGGACGTGGATGTGGACGTGGTCGTGGAGGTGGCCGTGGACGTGGACGTGGACTTGGACGTGGACGTGGACGTAGACGTGGACGTGGACGTGGACGTGGACGTGGACGTGGACGTGGACATGGACCTGGACGTGGACGTGGACGTTGACTTAGACGTGGACGTGGACGTGGACTTGGATGTGGACGAGGACGTGGACGTGGAGGACGTGGACGTGGAGGACGTGGACGTGGAGGACGTGGACGTGGACGTGGATGTGGACCTAGACCTGGACGTGGACGTGGACGTGGACTTGGACGTGGACGTGGACGTGGACATGGTTGTGGACGTGGACGTGGACGTGGTCGTGGATGTGGACGTGAACATGGACGTGGTCGTGGACGTGGTCGTGGACGTGGACGTAGACTTGGACGTGGACGTGGACGTAGACGTGGACGTGGACCTGGACGTGGACGTGGACGTGGACCTGGACATGGACGTGGACGTGGACTTGGACGTGGACGTGGACTTGGACGTGGACGTGGCATGGACGTGGACGTGGAGGACGTGGACGTGGAGGACCTGGACGTGGAGGACGTGGACGTGGATGTGGACGTGGACCTGGACGTCAATGTGGACTTGGACGTGGACGTGGACGTGGTCGTGGACGTGGACGTGGACGTGGTTGTGGACGTGGACGTGGTCGTGGACGTGGACGTGGACGTGGCGTGGATGTGGACGTAGTCGTGGACGTGGACGTGGTCGTGGACGTGGTCGTGGACGTGGACGTGGACCTGGACGTGGACGTGGACGTGGACCTGGACATGGACGTGGACGTGGACTTGGACGTGGACATCGACGTGGACATGAACATGGAGGACGTGGACGTGGACTTGGACGTGGACGTGGACGTAGACTTGGACGTGGACGTGGACGTGGACTTGGACGTGGACGTGGACGTAGACGTGGACGTGGACGTGGACGTGGACGTGGACCTGGACATGGACGTGGACGTGGACATGGACGTGGACGTAGACGTGGACCTGGATGTGGACCTGGACTTGGACCTGGACGTGGACGTGGACCTGGACCTGGACCTGGACGTGGACGTGGACCTGGACGTGGACGTGGTCGTGGATGTGGACGTGGACATGGACGTGGACGTGGACAAGGTCGTGGACGTGGACGTGGATGTGCACGTGGTCTGGACGTGGATGTGTACCTGGATATGGTCGTGGACGTGGACCTGGACGTGGACATGGACGTGGATGTGGACGTGGACGTGGACGTGGACTTGGACGTGGTCGTGGACGTGGACGTGGACCTGGACATGGACGTGGTCGTGGACGTGGACGTGGACGTGGTCGTCGACGTGGACGTGGACGTGGTCTGGACGTGGATGTGGACCTGGATGTGGTCGTGGACGTGGACGTGGACATGGACGTGGATGTGGACGTGGACGTGGACGTGGACTTGGACGTGGACGTGGTCGTGGAGGTGGACGTGGACGTGGACGTGGACGTGGACCTGGACATGGACGTGGACGTGGACATGGACGTGGACGTAGACGTGGACCTGGATGTGGACCTGGACTTGGACCTGGACGTGGACGTGGACCTGGACCTGGACCTGGACGTGGACGTGGACCTGGACGTGGACGTGGTCGTGGATGTGGACGTGGACATGGACGTGGACGTGGACAAGGTCGTGGACGTGGACGTGGATGTGCACGTGGTCTGGACGTGGATGTGTACCTGGATGTGGTCGTGGACGTGGACCTGGACGTGGACATGGACGTGGATGTGGACGTGGACGTGGACGTGGACTTGGACGTGGTCGTGGACGTGGACGTGGACCTGGACATGGACGTGGTCGTGGACGTGGACGTGGACGTGGTCGTGGACGTGGACGTGGATGTGGATGTGGACGTGGATGTGGACGTGGTCGTGGAGGTGGCCGTGGACGTGGACGTCGACTTGGACGTGGACGTGGACGTAGACGTGGACGTGGACGTGGACGTGGACGTGGACGTGGACATGGACCTGGACGTGGACGTGGACGTTGACTTAGACGTGGACGTGGACGTGGACGAGGACGAGGACGTGGACGTGGACGTGGACGTGGAGGACGTGGACGTGGAGGACGTGGACGTGGAGGACGTGGACGTGGACGACGTGGACGTGGACGTGGACGTGGACCTAGACCTGGACGTGGACGTGGACGTGGACTTGGACGTGGACGTGGACGTGGACATGGTTGTGGACGTGGACGTGGTCGTGGATGTGGACGTGAACATGGACGTGGTCGTGGACGTGGTCGTGGACGTGGACGTAGACTTGGACGTGGACGTGGACGTAGACGTGGACGTGGACGTGGACGTGGATGTGGACGTGGACCTGTACATGGACGTGGACGTGGACTTGGACGTGGACGTGGACTTGGACGTGGACGTGGCGTGGACGTGGACGTGGAGGACGTGGACGTGGAGGACCTGGATGTGGAGGACGTGGACGTGGATGTGGACGTGGACCTGGACGTCAATGTGGACTTGGACGTGGACGTGGACGTGGTCGTGGACGTGGACGTGGACGTGGTCGTGGACGTGGACGTGGTCGTGGACGTGGACGTGGACGTGGCGTGGATGTGGACGTAGTCGTGGACGTGGACGTGGTCGTGGACGTGGTCGTGGACGTGGACGTGGACCTGGACGTGGACGTGGACGTGGACCTGGACATGGACGTGGACGTGGACTTGGACGTGGACATCGACGTGGACATGAACATGAAGGACGTGGACGTGGACTTGGACGTGGACGTGGACGTAGACTTGGACGTGGACGTGGACGTGGACTTGGACGTGGACGTGGACGTAGACGTGGACGTGGACGTGGACCTGGACGTGGACGTGGACGTGGACGGGGACGTGGACCTGGACGTGGACGTGGACGTGGACGTGGTCGTGGACGTGGATCTGGTCGTGGACGTGGACGTGGACGTGGACGTGGTCGTGGACGTGGACCTGGACGTGGACGTGGACGTGGACCTGGACATGGACGTGGACGTGGACTTGGACGTGGACGTGGACGTGGACTTGGACGTGGAGGACGTGGACGTGGACTTGGACGTGGACGTGGACGTAGACTTTGACCTGGACGTGGACGTGGACGTGGACTTGGACGTGGACGTAGACGTGGACGTGGACCTGGACGTGGACGTGGACGTGGACGTGGACGTGGACGTGGACTTGGACGTGGACGTGGACTTGGATGTGGACGAGGACGTGGAAGTGGACGTGGAGGACGTGGACGTGGAGGATGTGGACGTGGAGGACGTGGACGTGGACGTGGACATGGTCGTGGATGTGGACGTGGACGTGGACGTGGTCGTGGACGTGGACGTGGACGTGGTCGTGGACGTGGTCGTGGACGTGGACGTGGACTTGGACGTAGATGTGGACGTAGACGTGGACGTGGACGTGGACCTGGACGTGGACGTGGACGTGGACCTGGACATGGACGTGGACGTGGACTTGGACGTGGACGTGGACGTGGACTTGGACGTGGACGTGGACATGGACGTGGAGGACGTGGACGTGGAGGACGTGGACGTGGACGTGGTTGTGGACGTGGACGTGGACGTGGTCGTTGACGTGGACGTGGACGTGGACGTGGACGTAGATGTGGACGTGGACGTGGACTTGGACGTGGACCTGGACTTGGACGTGGACGAGGACGTGGAAGTGGACGTGGAGGACGTGGACGTGGAGGATGTGGACGTGGAGGACGTAGACGTGGTCGTGGACGTGGACGTGGACGTGGACGTGGTCGTGGAAGTGGACGTGGACGTGGATGTGGACGTGCACGTGGTTGTGGACGTGGTCGTGGACGTGGACGTGGACGTAGACGTAGACGTGGACCTGGACGTGGACGTGGACGTGGACGTGGTCGTGGACGTGGACGTGGTCGTGGATGTGGACGTGCACGTGGTCGTGGACGTGGACGTGGACGTAGACGTAGACGTGGACCTGGACGTGGACGTGGACGTGGACGTGATCGTGGACGTGGACGTGGACGTGGATGTGGACGTGCACGTGGTCGTGGACGTGGTCGTGGACGTGGACGTGGACGTAGACGTAGACGTAGACCTGGACGTGGACGTGGACGTGGACTTGGACATGGACGTGGACGTGGACTTGGACGTGGACGTGGACGTGGACTTGGACGTGGACGTGGACGTGGACGTGGAGGACGTGGACGTGGACGTGGACGTGGACCTGGACGTGGACATGGACTTGGACGTGGACGTGGACGTGGACGTGGTCGTGGACGTGGTTTGGACGTGGTCGTGCACGTGGACGTGGTCCTGGACGTGGACGTGGACGTGGACGTGGACGTGGACGTGGTCGTGGACTTGGACGTGGACGCGGTCGTAGACGTGGATCTGGTCGTGGACGTGGACGAGGACATGGACGTGGACGTGGACGTGGTCGTGGACGTGGACGTGGACTTGGTCGTGGATGTGGACGTGGTCGTGGACGTGGATCTGGTCGTGGACATGGACGTGGACGTGGACGTGGACGTGGACGTGTTCGTGGACGTGGACGTGGTCGTGGACGTGGACGTAGACGTGGACGTGGTCGTGGACGTGGACGTGGACGTAAACGTGGACGTGGACATAGACGTGGACGTGGACGTGGTCCTGGACGTGGACGTGGACTTGGACGTGGACTTGGACGTGGACGTGGACTTGGACGTGGACGTGGACGTGGACGTGGAGGACGTGGACGTGGAGGACGTGGACGTGGACGCGGACCTGGACGTGGACGTGGACTTGGACGTGGACGTGGACGTGGACGTGGACGTGGACTTGGTCGTGGACGTGGACGTGGACGTGGACGTGGTCGTGGACTTGGACGTGGACGTGGTCGTGGACGTGGACGTGGACGTGGACGTGGACGTTGACGTGAACGTGGTCGTGGACGTGGACGTGGTCGTGGACGTGGACGTGGTCGTGGACGTGGACGTGGACGTGGATGTGGACGTGGACGTGGACCTGGACCTGGACGTGGATGTGGACGTGGACGTAAACCTGGACCTGGTCGTGGACGTGGACGTCGACGTGGACATGGTCGTAGACGTGGACGTGGACATGGACGTGGACTAGGACGTGGTCGTGGACGTGGTTGTGGACGTGGACTTGGACGTGGACGTGGACGTAGACGTGGACGTGGACCTGGACGTGGACGTGGACGTGGACCTGGACATGGACGTGGACGTGGACTTGGACGTGGACGTGGACGTGGACTTGGACGTGGACATGGACGTGGAGGACGTGGACGTGGAGGACGTGGATGTGGAGGACGTGGACGTGGACGTTGACGTGGACGTGGACGTGGACGTAGACTTGGACGTGGACGTGGGCGTGGTCGTGGACGTGGACGTGGACTTGGACGTGGACGTGCACGTGGACGTGGAGGACGTGGACGTGGAGGACGTGGACGTGGACGTGGACCTGGACGTGGACGTGGACTTGGACGTGGACGTGGACGTGGACGTGGACGTGAATTGGTCGTGGACGTGGACGTAGACGTGGTCGTGGACTTGGACGTGGACGTGGTCGTGGACGTGGACGTGGACGTGGACGTTGACGTGAACGTGGTCGTGGACGTGGACGTGGTTGTGGACGTGGTCGTGGACGTGGACGTGGACGTGGATGTGGACGTGGACGTGGACCTGGACCTGGACGTGGATGTGGACGTGGACATGGACCTGGACCTGGTCGTGGACGTGGACGTGGACGTGGACATGGTCGTAGACGTGGACGTGGACATGGACGTGGACTAGGACGTGGTCGTGGACGTGGTTGTGGACGTGGACTTGGACGTGGTCGTGGACGTAGACGTGGACGTGGACGTGTACCTGGACGTGGACGTGGACGTGGACCTGGACATGGACGTGGACGTGGACTTGGAGGACGTGGACGTGGAGGACGTGGACGTGGACATGGACATGGACGTGGACATGGACGTGGACGTGGACGTGGACATGGACGTGGACGTGGACGTGGTCGTGGACGTGGACGTGGACGTGGACGTGGTCGTGGACATGGACGTGGACCTGGACGTGGACGTGGAGGTGGACGTGGACGTGGACGTGGACGTGGAGATGGACGTGGACGTAGACGTGGACGTGGACGTGGACGTGGACGTGGTCGTGGACGTGGACGTGGCCGTGGACGTGGACGTGGCCGTGGACGTGGACGTGGACGTGGACGTGGACATGGACGTGGACCTGGAGGTGGACGTGGACGTGGACGTGGACGTGGACGTGGACATGGACGTGGACGTGGACATGGACATGGACGTGGACATGGACATGGACGTGGACATGGACATGGACGTGGACATGGACGTGGACGTGGACGTGGACATGGACGTGGACATGGATGTTGACGTGGACGTGGACGTGGACGTGGACATGGACGTGGTCGTGGACGTGGACGTGGACCTGGACATGGACGTGGACGTGGACCTGGACGTGGACGTGGTCGTGGACATGGACGTGGACGTGGACGTGGACGTGGACGTGGACGTGGACGTGGTCGTGGACGTGGACGTGGACGTGGACGTGGACGTAGACGTGGACATGGCCGTGGACGTGGACGTGGACGTGGACGTGGACGTCGACGTGGTCGTGGACGTGGACGTGGACGTGGACGTGGACGTGGACGTGGACGTGGTCGTGGACGTGGACGTGGACGTGGACGTGGACGTGGACGTGGTCGTGGACGTGGACGTGGACGTGGACGTGGACGTGGACGTGGATATTGACGTGGACGTGGTCGTGGACGTGGTCGTGGTCGTGGTCGTGGACGTGGACCTGGAGGTGGACGTGGACGTGGAGGTGGACGTGGTCGTGGACGTGGACGTGGACGTGGACTTGGACGTGGACGTGGACGTGGACTTGGACGTGGACGTGGACGTGCACATGGACGTGGACGTGGACGTGGACCTGGACGTGGACCTGGACGTGGACGTGGAGGTGGACGTGGACGTGGACGTGGACGTGGAGGTGGACGTGGACGTAGACGTGGACGTGGAGATGGACGTGGACGTAGACGTGGACGTGGACGTGGCCGTGGACATGGACGTGGACGAGGACGAGTGGACGTGGACGTGGACGTGGACGTGGCCGTGGACGTGGACGTGCACGTGGACGTGGACGTGGACGTGGACGTGGACGTGGACATGGACGTGGACGTGGACATGGACATGGACGTGGACATGGACGTGGACATGGACGTGGTCGTGGACGTGGACGTGGACGTGGACGTGGACGTGGACATGGACGTGGTCGTGGACGTGGACGTGGACCTGGACATGGACGTGGACGTGGACCTGGACGTGGACGTGGACGTGGTCGTGGACGTGGACGTGGACGTGGACGTGGACGTGGACATGGTCGTGGACGTGGACGTGGACGTGGACGTGGACGTGGACGTGTACGTGGACGTGGACGTGGTCGTGGACGTGGACGTGGACGTGGACGTGGACGTGGACAAGGACGTGGACCTGGTCGTGGACGTGGACGTGGATGTGGACGTGGACGTGGACGTGGACGTGGACATGGACGTGGACGTGGACGTGGACGTGGACGTGGACGTGGAGGACTTGGACGTGGACATGGCCGTGGACGTGGACATGGACATGGCCGTGGACGTGGACATGGACGTGGACGTGGACATGGACGTGGACGTGGACGTGGACATGGACGTGGACATGGACGTGGACGTGGACGTGGATGTGGACGTGGACGTCGACGTGGACATGGACATGGACGTGGACGTGGAGGTGGACGTGGACGTGGACGTGGAGGTGGACGTGGACGTGGACGTGGACGTGGACGTGGACGTGGACGTGGACGTGGACGTGGACATGGACGTGGTCGTGGACGTGGACATGGACGTGGACGTGGACGTGGAGGTGGACGTGGACGTGGACGTGGAGGTGGACGTGGACGTGGACGTGGAAGTGGACGTGGACATGGCCGTGGACGTGGACGTGGACGTGGACGTGGAAATGGACGTGGACATGGACGTGGACGTGGACGTGGACATGGACGTGGACGTGGACGTGGTCGTGGACGTGGACGTGGACGTGGACGTGGACGTGGTCGTGGACGTGGACGTGGACCTGGACGTGGACGTGGACGTGGACATGGACCTGGACGTGGACGTGGTCGTGGACGTGGACGTGGACGTGGACGTGGACCTGGTCGTGGACGTGGACGTGGACGTGGACGTGGACGTGGACGTGGTCGTGGACGTGGACGTGGAGGACTTGGACGTGGACGTGGCCGTGGACGTGGACATGGACGTGGACGTGGACGTGGACGTGGAAATGGACGTGGACGTGGACGTGGACATGGACGTGGACGTGGACGTGGACGAGGACATGGACGTGGACGTGGACGTGGAGGAGGACGTGGACGTGGACGTGGACGTGGACGTTTGGACGTGGACATGGACGTGGACGTGGACGTGGAGGTGGACGTGGAGGTGGACGTTCGTGGACGTGGACGTGGACGTGGACGTGGACGTGGACGTGGACGTGGACGTGGACATGGACGTGGACGTGGACGTGGACGTGGACTTGGACGTGGACGTGGACATGGTCGTGGACGTGGACGTGGACGTGGACATGGACGTGGACGTGGACACGTGGACCTGGACGTGGACGTGAACGTGGACGTGGACGTGGACGTGGACGTGGAGGTGGACGTGGAGGTGGACGTGGACGTGGACGTGGACGTGGACATGGACGTGGACGTGGACGTGGACGTGGACGTGGACGTGGACGTGGACGTGGACTTGGACTTGGACGTGGACGTGGATGTGGTCGTGGACGTGGACGTGGTCGTGGACGTGGACGTGGACGTGGACGTGGACGTGGACGTGGACGTGGACGTGGAGGTGGACGTGGAGGTGGACGTGGAGGTGGACGTGGAGGTGGACGTGGAGGTGGACGTGGAGGTGGACGTGGAGGTGGACGTGGAGGTGGACGTGGAGGTGGACGTGGACGTGGACGTGGACCTGGACGTGGACGTGGTCGTGGACGTGGACGTGGACGTGGTCGTGGACGTGGACGTGGACGTGGACGTGGCCGTGGACGTGGACGTGGACCTGGACATGGACGTGGACGTGGACGTGGACGTGGTCGTGGACGTGGACGTGGACATGGACGTGGTCGTGGACGTGGACGTGGACGTGGACGTTGACATGGTCGTGGACGTGGACGTGGACGTTGACATGGACGTGGCCGTAGACGTGGACGTGGACCTGGACATGGACGTGGACGTGGACGTGGACGTGGTCGTGGACGTGGACGTGGACGTGGTCGTGGACGTAGACGTGGACGTGGACCTGGACATGGACGTGGACGTGGACGTGGACGTGGTCGTGGACGTGGACGTGGACGCGGACGTGGACGTGGACGTGGACGTGGTCGTGGACGTGGACGTGGACGTGGTCGTGGTCGTGGACGCGGACGCGGACGCGGATGTGGACGTGGACGTGGACGTGGTCGTGGACGTGGACGTGGACGTGGTCGTGGACGTGGACGTGGACGTGGACGTGGAGGTGGACGTGGACATGGACGTGGACGTGGACGTGGACGTGGACGTGGACGTGGAGGTGGACGTGGACGTGGACGTGGACATGGAGGTGGACGTGGACGTGGACGTAGAGGTGGACGTGGACGTGGACGTGGACGTGGAGGTGGACGTGGTCGTGGACGTGGACGTGGATGTGGACGTGGACGTGGACGTGGACGTGGACGTGGACGTGGTCGTGGACGTGGACGTGGACGTGGACGTGGACGTGGACGTGGTCGTGGACGTGGACGTGGACGTGGAGGTGGACGTGGACGTGGACGTGGACGTGGACGTGGACGTGGTCGTGGACGTGGACGTGGACGTGGAGGTGGACGTGGACGTGGACGTGGACGTGGACATGGACGTGGACATGGACGTGGACGTGGACGTGGACGTGGACTTTGACGTGGACGTGGACGTGGCCGTGGACGTGGCCGTGGACGTGGACGTGGCCGTGGACGTGGCCGTGGACGTGGCCGTGGACGTGGCCGTGGACGTGGCCGTGGACGTGGACGTGGACGTTGACGTGGACATGGACGTGGACGTGGACGTGGACATGGCCGTGGACATGGACGTGGACGTGGACATGGACGTGGACGTGGACATGGACGTGGACGTGGACGTGGACGTGGACGTTGACGTGGACGTTGACGTGGACGTGGACGTGGACGTGGACGTGGACGTGGACATGGACGTGGACGTGGACGTGGACGTGGACGTGGCCGTGGACGTGGCCGTGGACGTGGCCGTGGACGTGGACGTGGACGTGGACGTGGACGTGGCCGTGGACGTGGCCGTGGACGTGGCCGTGGACGTGGCCGTGGACGTGGTCGTGGACGTGGACGTGGACGTGGACGTGGACGTGGACGTGGCTGTGGACATGGACGTAGACGTAGACGTGGACATGGACGTGGACGTGGACGTGGACGTGGACGTGGACGTGGACGTGGACATAGACGTGGACGTGGACGTGGACGTGGACGTGGACTTTGACGTGGACGTGGACGTGGACGTGGACGTGGACATGGACGTGGTCGTGGACGTGGACGTGGACGTGGACGTGGACGTGGACGTGGACATGGACGTGGACGTGGACGTGGACGTGGACGTGGCCTTGGACGAGGACGTGGACGTGGACGTGGACGTGGACGTGTACGTGGACGTGGACTTGGACTTGGACGTGGACATGGACATGGACGTGGACATGGACGTGGACTTGGACGTGGACGTGGACATGGACGTGGACGTGGACGCGGACGTGGACGTGGACGCGGACATGGACGTGGACGTGGACGTGGACGCGGACATGGACATGGACGTGGACGTGGACGTGGACGTGGATGTGGACGTGGACGTGGACGTGGACGTGGATGTGGACGTGGACGTGGACGTGGACGTGGACGTGGACATGGACGTGGACGTGGTCGTGGACGTGGTCGTGGACGTGGACGTGGACGTGGACGTGGACATGGACGTGGACGTGGACTTGGACGTGGACGTGTGCAAGAACAAGGGCCTAGCGTGTTAAAAATAGCAAGAACAAGGGTCTAGCGTGTGCAAAATAGCAAGAATAAGAGCCTAGCGTATGCAAAATTTCAAGAACAAGGGCATAGCGTGTACAAAATTGCAAGAACAAGGGCCTAGCGAGTGCAAAATAGCAAGAGCAAGGGCCTAACGTGTGCAAAAAATAAAGAACAAGGGCCTAGCGTTCGCGAAATAGCAAGAGCAAGGGCCTAGCGTGTGCAAAATAAAAAGAACAAGGGTCTAGCATGTGCAAAATTGCAAGAACAAGGGCCTAGCGTGTGCAAGATAAAAAGAACTAGGGCATAGCGTGTGCAAAATAGCAAGAAGAAGGGCCTAGCGTGTGCAAAATAAAAAGAACAAGGGCCTAGCGTGTGCAAAATAAAAAGAACAAGGGCCTAGCGTGTGCAAAATTACAAGAACAAGGGCCTAGCGTGTGCAAAATTACAAGAACAAGAGCCTAGCGATTGCAAAATAGCAAGAGAAAAAGCCTAGCGTGTGCAAAAAATCAAGAACAAGGGCCTAGCGTTCGCGAAATAGCAAGAACAAGGGCCTAGTATGTGCAAAATGGCAAGAACAAGGTCCTAGCATATGCAAAATTGCAAGAACAAGGGTCTAACGAGTGCAAAATTGCAAGAACAAGGGCCTAGCGTGTGCAAAATAAAAAGAACAAGGGCATAGCGTGTGCAAAATAGCAAGAACAAGGGCCTAGCGTGTGCAAAATAAAAAGAACAAGGGCCTAGCGTGTGCAAAATAAAAAGAACAAGGGCCTAGCGTGTGCAAAGTAAAAAGAACAAGAGCCTAGTGTGTGCAAAATAGCAAGAACAAGGGCCTAGCGTGTGCAAAATAGCAAGAACAAGGGCCTAGCGTGTGCAAAATAGCAATAACAAGGGACTAGCGTGTGCAAAATAGCAAAAACAAGGGCCTAGCGCATGCAAAATAGCAAGAACAAGGGCCTAGCGTGATAAAAATAGCAAGAACAAGGGCCTAGCGTATGCAAAATAGCAAGAATAAGGGCCTAGCACGTACAAAATTGCAAAAACAAGGGCCTAGCATATGCAAACTTGCAAGAACAAGGGCCTAGCGTGTGCAAAATTGCAAGAACAAGGGCCTAACTTGTGCAAAATAGCAAGAACAAGGGCCTAGCGTGTGCAAAATAACAAGAACAAGGGCCTAGCGTTTGCAAAATATAAAGAACAAGGGCCTAGCGTGTGCAAAATTGCAAGAACAAGGGCCTAGCGAGTGCAAAATAGCAAGAGCAAGGGCCTAGCGTGTGCAAAAAATCAGGAACAAGAGCCTAGCGTTCGCGAAATAGCAAGAACAAGGGCCTAGCGTGTGCAAAATTGCAAGAACAAGGGCCTAGTATGTGCAAAATGGCAAGAACAAGGTCCTAGCGTGTGCAAAATAGCAAGTCAAGGGTCTAGCGAGTGAAAAATTGCAAGAACAAGGGCCCAGCGTGTGCAAAATAAAAAGAACGAGGGCATAGTGTGTGCAAAATAGCAAGAACAAGGGCCTAGCGTGTGCAAAATAAAAAGAACAAGGGCCTAGCATGTGCCACATAAAAACAACAAGGGCCTAGCGTGTGCAAAATAAAAGGAACAAGGGCCTAGCATGTGCAAAAAAGCAAGAACAAGGGCCTAGCGTGTGCAAAAAGGCAAGAACAAGGGCCTAGCGTGTGCAAAATAGCAATAACAAGGGCCTAGCGTGTGTAAAGTTTCAGTAACAAGGGCTTTGGGTGTGCAAAATAGCAAGAACAAGGGCCTAGCGTGTGCAAAGTTCAAGAACAAGGGCCTAGCGTGCAAAATGGCAAGAACAAGGTCCTTGCATGTGCAAAAAATAAAAAACAAGGGCCTAGCGTTCGCGAAATAGCAAGAACAAGGGCCTAGCGTGTGCAAAATTGCAAGAACAATGGCCTAGTATGTGCAAAATGGCAAGAACAAGGGCCTAGCGTGTGCAAAATAGCAAGAACAAGGGTCTAGCGAGTACAAAATTGCAAGAACAAGGGCCTAGCGTGTGCAAAATAAAAAGAACAAGGGTCTAGCATGTGCAAAATTGCAAGAACAAGGGCCTAGCGTGTGCAAGTTAAAAAGAACAAGGGCCTAGCGTGTGCAAAATAAAAAGAACAAGGGCATAGCGTGTGCAAAATTGCAAGAACAAGGGCCTAGCGAGTGCAAAATAGCAAGAGCAATGGCCTAGCGTGTGCAAAATATCAAGAACAAGGGCCTAGCATTCGCGAAATAGCAAGAACAAGGGCCTAGAATGTGCAAAATGGCAAGAACAAGGTCCTAGCATATGCAAAATTGCAAAAACAAGGGTCTAACGAGTGCAAAATTGCAAGAACAAGGGCCTAGCGTGTGCAAAATAAAAAGAACAAGGGCATAGCGTGTGCAAAATAGCAAGAACAAAGGCCTAGCGTTTGCAAAATTAAAAGAACAAGGGCCTAGCGTGTGCAAAAGAAAAAGAACAAGGGCCTAGCATGTGCAAAGTAAAAAGAACAAGAGCCTAGTGTGTGCAAAATAGCAAGAAAAAGGGCCTAGCGTGTGCAAAATAGCAAGAACAAGGAACTAGCGTGTGCAAAATAGCAATAACAAGGGACTAGCGTGTGCAAAATAGCTAAAACAAGGGCCTAGCGCATGCAAAATAGCAAGAACAAGGGCCTAGCGTGTTAAAAATAGCAAGAACAAGGACCTAGCGTATGCAAAATAGCAAGAATAAGGGCCTAGCATGTACAAAATTGCAAGAACAATGGCCTAGCATATGCAAACTTGCAAGAACAAGGGCCTAGCGTGTGTAAAATTGCAAGAACAAGGGCCTAACGTGTGCAAAATAGCAAAATCAAGGGCCTAGCATGTGCAGAAAAAAAAGAACAAGGGCCTAGCGTGTGCAAAATATAAAGAACAAGGGCCTAGCGTGTGCAAAATTGCAAGAACAAGGGCCTAGCGAGTGCAAAATAGCAAGAGCAAGGTCCTAGCGTGTGCAAAAAATCAGGAACAAGAGCCTAGCGTTCGCGAAATAGCAAGAACAAGGGCCTAGCGTGTGCAAAATTGCAAGAACAAGGGCCTAGTATGTGCAAAATGGCAAGAACAAGGTCCTAGCGTGTGCAAAATAGCAAGACAAGGGTCTAGCGAGTGCAAAATTGCAAGAACAAGGGCCAAGCGTGTGCAAAATAAAAAGAACAAGGGCATAGTGTGTGCAAAATAGCAAGAACAAGGGGCTAGCGTGTGCAAAATAAAAAGAACAAGCGCCTAGCATGTGCCACATAAAAACAACAAGGGCCTAGCGTGTGCAAAATAAAAGGAACAAGGGCCTAGCATGTGCAAAATAGCAAAAACAAGGGCCTAGTGTGTGCAAAAAGGCAAGAACAAGGGCCTAGCGTGTGCAAAATAGCAAGATCAAGGGCCTAGCGTGTGCAAAGTTGCAAGAACAAGGGCCTAGCGTACAAAATTGCAAGAACAAGGGCCTTGCATGTGCAAAAAATCAAGAACAAGGGCATAGCGTTCGCGAAATAGCAAGAACAAGAGCCTAGCGTGTGCAAAATTGCAAGAACAAGGGCCTACTATGTGCAAAATGGCAAGAACAAGGGCCTAGCATGTGCAAAATCGCAAGAACAAGGGTCTAGCGAGTGCAAAATTGCAAGAACAAGGGCCTAGCGTGAGCAAAATAGCAAGAACAAGGTCCTAGCGTGTGCAAAATAAAAAGAACAAGGGTCTAGCGTTTGCAAAATAACAAGAACAAGGGCCTAGCTTGTGCAAAATAAAAAGAACAAGGGCCTAGCGTGTGCAAAATAGCAAGAATAAGGGCCTAGCGTGTGCAAAATTACGAGAACAAGGGCCTAGCGTGTGCAAAAAATCAAGAACAACGGCCTAGCGTTCGCGAAATAGCAAGAACAAGGGCCTAGCGTGTGCAAAATTGCAAGAACAAGGGCCTAGTATGTGCAAAATAGCAAGAACAAGGGCCTAGCGTGTGCGGAATAGCAAGAGAAGGGGTCTAGCGAGTGCAAAATTGCAAGAACAAGGGCCTAGCGTGTGCAAAATAAAAAGAACAAGGGCCTAGCGTGTGCAAAATAGCAAGAACAAGGGCCTTACGTGTGCAAAATAAAAAAAAACAAGGGCCTAGCTTGTGCAAAATAAAAAGAACAAGGGCCTAGCGTGTGCAAAAAAATCAAGAACAAGGGCCTAGCGTTCGCGAAATAGCAAGAACAAATGCCTAGCGTGTGCAAAATTGCAAGAACAATGGTCTAGCATGTGCAAAATAGCAAGAACAAGGGCATAGCGTGTGCAAAATAAAAAGAACAAGGGCCTAGCATGTGCAAAATAAAAAGAACAAGGGCCTAGCGTGTGCAAAATAGCAAGAACAAGGGCCTAGCGTGTGCAAAATAAAAAGAACAAGGGCCTAGCGTGTGCAAAATAGCAAGAACAAGGGCCTAGCAAGTGCAAAATAGCAAGAGCAAGGGTTTAGCGTGTGCAAAAAATCAGGAACAAGGGCCTAGCGTTCGCGAAATAGCAAGAACAAGGGCCTAGCGTGTGCAAAAAATCAGGAACAAGGGCCTAGCGTTCGCGAAATAGCAAGAACAAGGGCCTAGCGTGTGCAAGATTGCAAGAACAAGGGCCCAGTATGTGCAAAATGGCAAGAACAGGGTCCTAGCGTGTGCAAAATAGCAAGAACAAGGGTCTAGCGAGTGCAAAATTGCAAGAACAAGGGCCTAGCGTGTGCAAAATAAAAAGAACAAGGGCATAGTGTGTGCAAAATAACAAGAACAAGGGCCTAGCGTGTGAAAAATAAAAAGAACAAGGGCCTAGCGTGTGCAAAATAAAAAGAACAAGGGCCTAGCGTGTGCAAAATTGCAAGAATAAGGGCCTAGCGAGTGCAAAATAGCAAGAGCAAGGACCTAGCGTGTGCAAAAAATCAGGAACAAGGGCCTAGCGTTCGCGAAATAGCAAGAACAAGGGCCTAGCGTGTGCAAAATTGCAAGAACAAGGGCCTAGTATGTGCAAAATGGCAAGAACA